AAAATGGTATGTTTTTTCTCTGTAGATTGAATGTTTATTCGGAGCATTTATGAGCGGAATAACGATATGGAACATTTATCAGGTACAAAATGATATGGTTTACTCTCTGTAGATTGAATGTTTATTCGGAGAATTTATCAGCGGCATAACGATATGGGGCATTCCCTTTATTGAATGTTGATAATTATAGAGCATTTATCATGGAAAAATGATATGGGACATTCCGTTTTATCACATTCATTTGAATGTTGATATGGAACATTTATCAGGAAAAAAATAATATGGGACTTTCTCTTTATATTGAATGTCGGTCAAGAATATAAATCAGGGTCAATATGAGGCACGACTCTTGAAATTGAATATCGTCTGGAATATTAATCAGTGAAAATATAATACGCGACATTTACTGTTAATATAATGTCTGAAATATTCAAATCGAAAGCCAATGTGAGACATTAAAGCTCCGCATTCTTTTTTTAAAATTGAATTTCGATTTTGGCGTATTAACAATACAATATAAAGCGCAATACCAGGTAATTTTAAGATGTTTTGGTCAGCTTTGAACGTGTAGGGTGGCATGATTGTTATTGACATCAAATTAAAGTATCTTTTGTTCGAAAAGTAAACTACCTGTTATACACTTTTTTATGTATGGAGCTTATTTTAATGGAAATCAAAATGAATAAAATGGCTGAAATTTTGTAGTTTTGGTCCATTTTTACCCAAATAATTTGTTAAATATTTTCAAAGAAAATGCCCGAAATAAGACCAAAAATGTCTGGAAAATGATTTTTTTTAATTCTTAAAGACATTATGAATTATGAGTGTATATGAAACATGATAATTACGTGAGGTTATATAAAAAATGACAACAATCACGCAATACTATAAAAATGATGAAAAACATGATGAATTATGAAAAATGATAATAAACACGATGTAGCATGAAATATGATAATAAAAACATGAGGTTGTATGAAAAAATGATAATAAACAAGAGCTAGTATGAAAAATGAAAAAAATATGTGGTATCATGAAATATGACGATGAAACTCTCTATTACAAAGAAGAAAGGTTTTCTTTAAACAAGATCGGTGTAGATGTGGGCTATTTGTGCGCAGTTTTCATTAAAAGAAAATTGAATCCTTGAAATCAGAACATTCAATCTTCCGTTTTGAAAGAGTGTCGTGATTTAGTTGGCACGGTATACCGTGTCACACAGGAAATCTGTAATTGAAGATCGTATCGAGAGAGAGCGGCGAAATATAACGCGAGATCACGTTTAATGAGATTTGTATTTGAATACTTGAATGCTGTGTCCGAGTGATTTGAGGAATGCAAGATCGATTCGGTTTCTGATTGAAGTGAAACAAAAGAAAGCCCGTTAGATGGAACGATATCTAAGATGTCTTGTAACTATTTAAATAGAATATATTCTCGGTACATCTAACTAGAAAGTTTCTATTATTTTCAGCTAATGACAAGAAAACGTTGAGAATTGTTAGACAATACATGTATATAGACAATTACAGCTTAAGACAGTAGCTAGGACAATCATAGAGGGCTTTTTTTAACTCGGATAAAAAATCATTTACTCATAACGTTTCTGAAATCTGAAGTGAAAATGAAAAAAATCAATCAATTTTTAAGAAAACAAATCTATTAAAAGTATAATTGTCTTTTAGACAAACTATATCAGTCAGATTTTTCTAGATTATTTGATTTCTACAAATGATGTCGCCACAATCTTTATATAGATATTATTTTCACAAAAAGCGAATTGTCTGATCTTATATATTCTATAATTCATGCAATACATAGCAATGACACCTGGTCTGTTTGAATACCAGTTCCCGTGCATTTTACATGCGCCTGACTGTATGTTATAATAGTCAATACTATGTGATGAATTTTCAAAGTTTTGTATATTTTTCTTTTGAGATGATTTAAATAGTGCTGTGCGGACACAGTTATGGCTTCAAAAACTTTTATAACCGCCTTTAACATAGTAAAGAGAGGTCACACGTGTGCCTTTTTATTTTGATTAAATTTGGTAATGGTCCTGATACCTTTAATGTCTTACATACTGTTTATGCTCAAATTTGATGTTTTAATGCTGGTCATTTGCTTATTAAAAAATTATGTATCGTTTAATCGTTATGTGATTCATTAATGATCAAGGCATTAGGATAAACCATAGTGACGGAATTTTCGTGTATATCTATCTTCCACTAATGTCAAACCCCTCGATGGTGACGTAGACATGTCTGCGCGTCAAAATCGCTAGAATGTTAAAAAGAGTTGTTTAAAAGGGGATAAAAGAATATTAAAAATGTTAAAAACATGGGGCTGGAAAACTAGGATGAGAAATGTTCAATGCAAGCCATGACTGCACTGAACTGCTCTATGGTAGGTAGTAGGGCAACTGCAGGGTGTAAGTGGTGCCAGTGGTATACTGTCATAGGAAAGAAAGATAATTTATAATAGTCTGAAGTTGCTGTGAATATCCTACAACACAGGGGATTACCATGGCGTGATGTTTGGGAGAGGAGTGCCATATATATTCTTCTATGGGGATAGCAACCAGACCATGGTGAATCTTATAGAAAATGAGTAGCCTAGCATCTTTACGTCTGAGTTCCAGTCTACGAAGCTTAAGGGAGTGGAGCATATCCGTGACGCTAGAGGTCTGACCATAATCAAGCTTGATCCATCGGGCCGCTCATCTTTGGACATTTTCAATTTCATCTATTTGTATTTTGGTGTGGGAAACCATACTTCGGAACCATATTCAAGCTGGGGTCTGACTAACGTCTGGTAAGCAATGGACTTCATTGATTGGGATGTCCCCTATATTTTTCTTCGTAGGAATCCTAAGGTTCTGTTTGCTTTCGTGAATGTTCTGTTTATGTGGGCATCCCATGTAAGGTTTTCTGATATATCCACGCCTAGGTATTTAGCTGAGGTAACCGATTCTAATTGGATTCATGAGGGTAGTATTGTGTTGGGACAGGATGTTTTCTTTTTGTGACGTGGATAACTTGACACTTAGAGGGGTTAAATTCCATATCCCTCTCCAACACCCACTTTTCTAACCGATTAAAGTAATTTTGGAGAGTGACTGATTGGTTTGCAAATGTCAGAGCAATGTATATTGCAGTATCATCTGCAAACAAGCGGAACTGGGAATTATGTTTTGTGGGAGGTCATTTATATAAGCGGCAAAAAGAGGAGGGTTCTAGAACTGGGCCTTGGGGGACACCTGTAGATACTGGGATGGGGTTAGAGCAGCTGCCATTTAGCACAACAGACTGAATTTTCTAGAAAACTTCTGACCTATCTTAAAGTTTGACCTCTGATTCCATAGTTATGTATTTTCAGCAGTACTTTCTCATGACTGACATTGTCGAAAGCCTTACTGATAACTAAAAGAATCAGATCTACTTGCTTTTTTCTTCTCATATACTAAGGTCATTTACCAGCATAACAAGTTGCGTAACACATGACCTTTTTTGGGGGAAAGGATATTATGGTTGGTGAAGTGTTTAACAATCGAAGAGGAAACTTTGTGCTCCATAACCTTACACAAAACACATGTTAAGGAAATTGACATATAATTGGCAGTGACTGACCTATTACTTTTCTTGAAGATTGGGGCTACATCTGCAGATTTCCATTGGGATGGCAATGAGCCTTCATCGGTGGAATTTTGGAAAAAAACCTTTAGGAATCGAGAGAGCTCTTTAGAAAGTGTGTTGGTAATTATTGGTTTTATTTTATCCGGACCACAGGCCTTATGATGGTTCAGGTTATTGAGAAGTTTCTCAATCCCTTGTCGTGACGCTTTCGCTTTAATTTCAACAACTGCGCAGTCATTTAGGTGGAATTTTATTTGGCACTTCTAAAGGTATGCAGTGTACAGCTGACAATACTTCTGCGTGCGTAAAACACAGCTTGTTTGACATTTTGACAGAATTGTGTTGCTTCAAGCACTGAAAATGAAAACGAGACTAGATGGAGTACGATTTGTATTTGATAGATATTTTTGACTCTGACAATGAAATCTGTATTTTGGCATCTGTAGACAATTTATGATTTACACCTGTAACAAAGACATGTATCATTATCTAATGATAAGATTAAAAAATCGTTTCACGTACATTCTCAGCTTTAGAATCTACGAATGTGGTAAATGAGGTCAAAGAACACATCTTCGAAGACCAAGACGGGGAACAACTCTTGAAGATCCACTAGATTAGTGAACCGTACCATGGTCGCATGGCCACCTTGAAAACTAGGAGGAGTGAACTTGTTTGTCCGATACCCATGTCTGTGGCACCTATCAGAAACTAAATAAATCTTCTCTATATTTAGATGATTTATTTAGTCATTTCATATACTAGGGAAACGTGTTTATTTTATTTATTTATTTTTTTTTTTTTGGAAAAAAATCATTATTAAATTATTTTCATTAAAGTGGATTAAATTTGCCACAGGGTCAAATATTTCTGGTACTCAGGACGTACAGAAACCTACTTTGGGCGTATTTCCTAGAAATTCAGTTGATTTTTATTAAATAAATGTAACGTCTTAACTCGTAAGAGAATGACTGCACATGTAAGAATTTATCTGGCAGTAAATTTCAGTCAGTTGAAGGTGGCCAGTATATTGGAAGAAGAAGAAGCGGGACAGGAAACAGCATACAATGTATCTAATATTCACGACGTTATTTCAAAAATTTATTCTCCATAATTCAACATTTATGAAATCATGTGAGGTTTTATTGTAAGTATGTTTTTTGTTGTTGTTGTTGATGTTTTGATTTGTTCTACTTTTTATTATTTATTTATTTTATTATTATTATTATTCACGGTGCATAATAATCGTCGCATTACGCCACATTCTGTTCAGCATTACGCCTAACTTTTTCTTTTCTGTACACACATTACTGCAAAAAAGAGATTCCCGCTTTTTGATGATCATGTGACCCAGTCGTTGGACAAAATGGCGGAAGGAACAGTTGAGAAAAATATAAACTTTTTCAGATTTATTTTACAAAAACTACCGAAACAGCAAGAATTGCAAAAAATTAAAGCTTTCAGATATTGTATAAAATCGAATTACTTTTTCTGCCATTTTAATGACAACCATTTAATCGTCAGCAGTTTCCAAAATGCGGAAGCCAAAATTGTAGAAGATCTCGAACATGTTGAAGGGTAATTTATATTATCATGTTGTGATTTGCGACAATACTAACGTAAAATTCAGACAATATTTTTTCATTAATATTTGGTGTTTTCCATTGAGACTCATTTAATTGTTGTTTTTATGTGTTTTCCCAATTGCACCAGTGTTGATTGTGGAATTCAAACAAGCACCTCACTGCTTGTACGCTTGTAAACATAAAAGGGCAACAGCACACTCGGCTTCCTTCGACGCAACCTGCGCATCAGCAATGAACAGGTCAAGAGCACAGCCTACATGTCACTCGTGCGACCAGGCCTTGAATATTGCTCCACCATCTGGAACCCTTATACCAAGGACCTTACACGCAAGCTCGAGATGGTCCAGAGGAGAGCTGCAAGATATGTGACGAACCGTTACCACAACACAAGCAGCGTATCCTCAATGATCCAACACTTGGAGTGGGAGACATTAGAGTCACGACGGACCAAAGCCCAGCTGAACCATGATGTTCAAGATCACCAATGACCTTGTGGACATACCAGTCAGCGATTATCTCACCCCTGCCCCGAGCCGCACTAGAAGTGACCACTCCAAGAAGTTCCATCTACCATCAACATCTACATCGTACTACAAGAACACCTTCTTCCCTCGTACAGCCACGATATGGAACAGCTTACCTGCCTCCGTTGCAGAGGCCCCTGACTTGGTATCCTTCAAGCAGGGGCTATCAGCCCTCACATTCTAAGTCGCCTTAGGGGCCCAGCTACAAGTACCCACTAGTGATATCCAAGGCTGTGCCGGCAGCGGCCACCGTAACCGGAGAGGTTTGGGTTGAAGAGGCGAAATAAAGCTGGCCATACTTTTTGTCTAGATCTCTACCTTTGTACTATCCAACCTCTTCTTACTTTCTATCATTTCTTGTATATTTCTTTTTCTTGACCTAGCACCACCCGTCGCGTCATAATCAAGTGTGATTGCGCCGACGTACAATGTAGATGTTTTGATGCTCTACCCATGCAGCATTCTTCCTTGGTAAAGGGTCACCTTGGCTGTAATCCAACTCAGCACATGTCAACTTCAGAGGGATCAGCTTAGCTTACAAGTAAAGATCTGTTGATATATATATATTACTATATTGTCCGTAATTGTCTGTTGTTACAACAAATATAGTTACACAATGTATCCCTGAAGGATAACAAAAAATCATGATGTTTTGACCCTAATCCTGATATCAGTGATTGAATTTCTGATATTTGTGTTTTAGTTAAAAAATAAATGTTAATGTAAAAAACAAACACATTTACACCATCTGTCTATAAAATGTAAACCACCCAAAAAGTAATTTAGTCTATTCTGTTATTACCAGTGATATAATATGGGCAGAGCTGACTTGCGCTGAGTTTGTATAAGGCCGAGATGACCTGGGTGCCAAGTTAGTTTAACGACCAAGCTTTACCTTATTCCTCTTCCTTTGTGCTTTTAAACCAGTGAAATATACAATGTATGCAAAATCATCATGCCATCTTGTAGGGACAGCAGATGGTAAATTTAATTTAAAGCTTCTAATCCTGAATACCCACACTGCATGTTGAACATGTCAGCTAGCTGATATAATCTATACTAATGTCCAAGATAGAAATTCATAAGACATTGTAAATATGTAAATTTTCTTTTCTCCTCCAGATTTGCCCTACAAACTGATGTGGAAAGTTTTAAAACTGGTAAAATTGCTACCATAAATAAGGATGGGGAGCTACTGGTGTATGAATACCAAGGAGACAAATATGTTTTACAAGAGAAATTGGATTTAAGATCTGCCTTAACTAAAGGTATATAACTTTTCTTTAAGAAGGCATTGCTTCTTTTCCAAAACTTTTAAAATGGTATATATTTTTGTTTTCAGTCTACTTGAATATTTTTTGTATAAATTTATATATATGTTGTAAACCAATATGGACTTATTGAGAACTGATACTGATAAAAACTGTTTATAAAATGTATCCAAATTATTTGCAAACTGTCATAATGGTTAACATGGCTTTTTCTTTCAGTAAACATCACTGAGTTTGAGGCATTAGAATTGACATCATTCAAAAGAGAGATAATTACAGTATATATAAACAAGAGTTATCTGGTACAGTGTTCCATTAAGGATCATCAGTGTGATGTACTTTCTAACATTACACTACCTGAGACTATAAGTGATGTCAACAAATATGTGATTATTGGTGGGGTCTGTACAGTTCTGGATATACATGCTTCTATGTTATGTATCCTTTTATCACAATATATTTATCACAATTAGACATAACAGTATGTCCAATTTAAATACATGTTAAAATCACATTTACATGATAGGTAATTACACAATGATTGAAAAAATGAAAACTATTTTAGAAGACTATTTTTCTAAAGTGATACTTAGATTTATAATTTTGAATTTAGATTTATAATCATGAAATTTCTTCATGATGTAATCAAATGTTTAATTGATAAATGATTACTTTCCTTAGCCTGTGTGACAGTATTTTACAGTATTGATACAGGGAAAGAGATATCAAAGATTGATATTAGACAACTAGATATATCATCAATACAAGCATGGACTATGTCCGATCAATTTAAATACCTCGCCCTGGTCCTCCAGTCTGGAGATATACACCTTGTAGATCTTCACTCATATTGTACAACTTCTCCACAACAAGGGAGACAACCAACAGAACAATAATTGCCCATCATATCTTAACACATGCCCAGTACGGAGATATTCCTTGAGGGAGAGAAGTTATTATCTATGCATTCAAGTCACAAGAGTAAATCAAATTCATTGCACCTCAACCATCCACTCTTACATTACTAAAGAAAACAGTATAAACATACGGGATTCCGATCTTCAAGCAAGGATAGACGCAGATAATATTCAGTCATATGTTAGTGTTATACATACAGCAGAAAGTGTACACGGATACAGTGTAGATGATATTTACATAGATGAGAAGATGATCTATGTTGTGTATTGTTACAATAACACATATGTATTGTGTCACATTGAACTTTCTTCACATACATGGAACATGTTCAGGTATTGTATTACTAAAACAGTTACTATTATTGTTATAATTAATATTTTTAAATTAATTAATGACAGTTTTTGGTCATTAAAAAAATATACATGTATGTTTACTTAAGGCATGCAGCAATAATGGTCAAACCCGCATTGGGATATATAAATGAATTGCAACACATATTCCTTTCCATTGATTGTTATGTAAAACAAAATAGAACTTAAGCTACTGTTTATTATAGAAAAGTTTAAAGCTCCTGAGACTATTGATAACCCATATCTTGATATATTTGGAAGGTTAAGGTCATAACACTTTTAAGTCTTTATCAAACAATAAAAAATAAGGGTGTTTGTACATTTCAGGGTTGCAGTGCTTAAAATAATCAAAACACAGGATTGTTTTACTTTATAATAATTGTTAAACATTTTGATCAAATATATAGAAGAAAATATATTGCAATACGAGAGACCTGTACATATTGGCCGATGCTGCTTCACAATATACTCGTACCTGTATATCATTGCATGTTTATTGTTACACCAGTAATGCATGTATATACACATTTAGTTATGTGACTGTATGGGCATAGTTTACTTATTCTATTATTAGTTTACAGGTTACAGCTTTATTTTTACAGCACAGATTTCAGTATCTTTTGTTTATACTTCAGGTTAAATGAGGGTGAGAAGATAGTTTTGTCAAGAGATGCAAGTTTACCACATCTAGTTATAACAGACCATCATCTTACAGGGATCATTATGAGGACAGAAATGGATCAGGAACAGTTTGTTTAATGAGGGTATTTGTGATGTTGAAGTAAGATTTTAAATATAAGTTTTAATAAGATTCGTTGTATCTATGACATACATGTGTTAATAAGGAACATGCATTTATGAGGTACATCTTTGAGGTACATATGTTAAATGTGGTACAAATATTAATGTGTTACATACATGTATGTTAAATGTTTTACATATTATAATGTGGTACATTGGTACACATGTTAATGTGTTGCACATATTACACATAGATGTGTTATATTGGTGTGATATTGTTAAAAGAGAATGTTTGCTATTGTTTAACTTTTGATGTTTCATTTTTGTTTTTACAGTTAATGTGTAATATTGTTTACCGTTAATTTATGGTTCTATTTTCAGTTGATGATATATGGTGGAGCATCATTAGTGGATACAGTATGTCAGTTAAACAGTTGGGGGCGTTCCTCTATGCCAATACATACACTTGAAGTGGGTCTCAAACATCGCCAGCTAGATACTGTTACATTCTTCTTGAAGAGTAAAGAAAAAAGTATGCTATGTTGTAGTTCACAATACCAAAGTTACAGATAGATATCATTAAGTCATTTTTTGCCTGCAAATTCGTTTTTCTCATTAGTTTGTCAAACTTTTTCTTGAATGTCTGGTTTGTTTGTACAGTTTTCAACACTATGAATTATTCAAGGTTTTTGTTATAAATTGAAGTTTATATTCAAACACATCATAATTTTGGAGCATGGCCTATGCTTAAACATGAATAATTCCTTCAATTTTCTTTTGACATTAATTCATGCATTTTACAGAAGGTTGCTTCAAAAGTTAATTTTGAAGTGTCAAATGATATACAATCTTTCTTCGCAATATATCTTAGATAAAAATTGTTTTGAACTAAAATCAGTTTATTGAAGAAAATTTGTTAAATTACTTTGTAGAATGAATGTTGACATTTTTACATATCTTTTACAGTTTTTACATCAACACATTCAGCATTTGTAAAACATAAGGGTGGTGTGAACGCCCCTACAGGAGAGTCTTTCATGAGTCACCTAGATGTCGTGCAGCAGTTAGAACCGGCTGTTACTGTGATACTCGACACTGTACGAGGCACGGTCGGGGATAACCATTCTCATTCATTTGGGAAGGATGTTCTAGATAGCTGCATCGACTTCCTGTACGAACTCCTCCTTGATAGTTTATCTGTTTCCGTGTCAGTGACATCAGAGAGAGAAAATACAGACTTACAACATGCCACAGGTATAGTCAATGTTTACATGCTTTTACACACTTTTATCACATGCCACCTATGCGACTCTGTAAAAATCGTATGACACACACTACATTGTATATTTTGACATGACGTCACTGGCATTATACAAACATAGTGTTGAAGGGTGCTAATTTTGGCATTACGTTATTGTTTTAATTGAACAATGGTTCTTATTTAGGTATGTGATAAATAGAATATAATATTCATTAAACATACACTCAGTCAATATCCTCTATTTCTTAAATTGGATCTAAAAAGTAAATCAATTCTTTTAGAACCCTCTCATTATAGTATGCTTCCCATTAATGTAAGAAAATAAAGAGAAAAATAGATGGTTGTGTTGATATTGGTCAGTCAGTATTTGTTGACCAGAACATATCTGTGTAACATTTAAAGAACTTTAGACTTACTTTGATCAAACTTTGTAGGATGATTTTTGGTCATTTCAAAGGTGTACACAAAATTCAGAGGATCTTCAAACAGAAAATGCTTTTGCTCATATACTAGACATACATGTATATTGCAGCTACATGACTTTTTTGAAACCTGCTATTAACAAAAAAACCCAAAACAATGTGTTCTTTCCAGAGATTCACACAATTTTTTATCAACTAAGTCTACAGCATGGGAGTATTTTGTTCTTAAATTTTAACAACTCTCTTCTTAACTATGGTTGACTTACAAGTTACATATGAAGATTGTACAATAACATAGTGTATTAAAATATACTTGGCAGTTTTGGGAAATAAATTCTTCTTTGTGTGTGAGGTATTTTTATATTTTGGTTGGGTTTTATGTCACACCAACCAGCTTTACTGGTGGAGGACAACCTCAGGTACCCCATCATGCATTTTTTAGGAACAATCGAGCACCTGAGTAGAACCACCGACATTCTGTTAGCAAGACTGTGATGATGAAACATATTTAAAAGTTATAACTAAATTAAGATAACATTTTACAGAGAAACTATTAGAGTACATAGAGAGGACAAGAGAATGTATAAGAATGTTTGAGGGCAGAAGTTTGATGAGTCGCAGTGAGAGTATGTCCCTCACCAGCGCGTCACCGGCATCGCCAACTTCACCAACCTCACTGACCACAACAACTTCTGATAGTCTTACACAAAATAACCAGTCACTGTTCACACAATGGGACCAAATGGACATAGAGGTATATTTGAGTGTTTCATATTTTGTTAATAGAGAAGAAATATCTTACTGTGTCCTACTCACCCTGGCATCAGCCTTAATATCCTATAAGATTCTTTCTAATTAATATGAGGAAGTCAAAGGCTGGGGTCATGAAGCTGGCCCTGGCTTTGGCTTGCCCAGCTATAGACTACATGTGCATATTTAAAAGGAAATAAAATGCAAATGTAAAAACAGTTAAAAAATATATAGATTTCTATAATTTTCAGTGAAATGTTAAGTGTCATTTATAGTTGCTGTCATTTTGAATGGAACGCAGTGATGACCAGTGGGGTATTCTGATTACTGAACAACCGCAACTGTTTGGCTTAAGATTAATCATTGAGGTGTTCTGATTGAAAATGGAAGTGATGCATGAAATTATGAATGACACCTTGAAAATGAAGAATGTAAAATGAGAAAATGAAAGAATTTTTTTTTTGTCTGACTTCCCTGATGTTGTGTTGAAACTCTTCATGTGTCTTCTAGGTCAAGATAAATAAAACAATTTTTGTAGATGATTTAACTAGCATGCTTTGTTATTGAATTTGAACTGTTAACAATAATGATTGTGAACTTGTGAAAATTCCTAGTACACATATAGTACTTGCATGCATATGATAAAGGCTGCTGCTAAGATGTGGATATTTCTACAATAGTTTCTTGTTTATACAGGGAAGTCAAACGCCGGGACCACATAGCAGGCTTCGGCTTGCCTGGCTATAGTATAGACATGTACATGTGTATTTAAAAAGAAATCAAATGAAAAAAAAAAAAACAATTAAAAGTTATATAGATTTCTATACCTACCAGTGAAATTTTCAGTGTCTGCCATTTTTAATGTAACTCAATTATAATCAGCTGGTATTCCTATAACGGAACAAACAAACCTTTTCAGCTTAAGTATAATCGTCGTGGTGTTTCGAATGAGAATGGAAGTGGTGCATGAAATATCCGAATTAAACCTTTAAAAAAAAAATTAAAATGAACAATTTTTTTTATCCGACTTCCCTGTTCATATGCTTGCCTGCTTTAATATTAGTTTCAGAAAATGTATTTAAGATAGTGTATTATTATTTACAGACAGTAATTGAGGATGGAGTGATGAAGAACGTACTTCCTGACTTACAACAATATCTCCTCCAGGAGAAAGAGTACTCAAGGGGAAGTTATCAGCAGATAAAGTCAACTTGTGTTTCCCTAGCAACCAATTATATTAAATATGGCAACATGGGCAAGGCGAAGGAGATACTCATGAAACTTGTAACTATCATACATATGTTTACATGTAGTAAAATCTGAAATATTTTAAATTCTTGGAAACATTATTGTATAATATGCATTTATTTTAGAAAATTTATAACATGAGAGCATTAGGGTGTATAATCCAGGGGTCACTAGTTCAATCCTTGGGTAAAATGAAAATTCTCTGCCACAATTGATTTCATTTTACTGACATAACTTATTTTAAATTAGAATTTCAACTCTGACAATATCATTATGATTTCTCCATTTGTTATGTATAATCTGTATAGAATAAAACAGACCCAACAACAACAACATATATTGAAATCAAGAATTACAAGATTTTATATTAATACGATGTAAGGTATTAGATCTTGAACTATTTTACTTTTGTGTTTCAGGGCCTAAATGTTTCAGAAGAACTGTGGAAAATGGCTCTTTACACATTAGACATTAACATTTGTAACTCTATCACTGAAGAGCTCCTCAAATCTTCTAAACTGAATGAAGAACAGGTTGCTATGGTAACATTCTTCAAACAACTCAATGAGATTTATCCCTGTAGAAATTTTGAAGCTATACAGAAATCTCATCACCATGTTAAAGACAGGTACGATTAATAAAGACACCATGTTAAAGATAATTGAAATTAAAATGACACCATTGTCTAGACTGGTAGGAATTTTAACATAACACTAATGTTTATCACTTATCTGGCTAAATGTTTTAAATGAAATTGTCTATCTTTCAATATAGACAAAAATCATCACTTTTACGGAAAATTACAAAATAAGTACTGATTGAACAGTAAACAGTTCAGACCATGATCAGACGGCACTGATATATTGGCTGATCTTGCTCTGCACTGTTTGAATTGGCAAAATCAGTTGCTGCTTACAAGCTAAGGGTTAAGATATGTGGAATAACAATGAAAAGTGTAAATGAAAATGAGTTATGACTCGGAAATATGTTTTAAGTTAAATTGTGTAAATTTTATTCTAAATATCTTAACTCTTCATCTGGAACCAAAAGAGAACAGCCTGTACCACAAGTATAGAGCACAGCAGACCTGGACACCCATGCATTCTGATGAGACTGTATTGTTGGCTATTTAACTTTGAATCTTCAACTGATATCCCTAAATTGATAATAGATATTTCCTAAAATAGAAGCTGGGCAAGTCCATTTAAGATATTTAGCAGGTCAAGACTTTATATTACAGTGATAGTCATGAAGTTGTTCGTTTAAAGAGCCTGATTAATCAGACAAGTACATATGACCTGACAGAATCGTGTGGAAACTTGACATCACATGTACGTGACGATTTGAGTGATGAGAACTATAACGAGGTGATGTTAGCCTGGGTGAAACATTGGTCACCATCCACCAGAGATCTCGTACTGCTAGATGTCCTTCTTCATCAACCAGGTATATCTTTAGTTTAGTTTATACAAATTTATTTAAGTTCGATTGTGTTGGAAGCTATAAGCTTATTGAAACATTCTCGAATTTGTTCCTTTGATATATCTTTATCACGTTATCTATATATTTCGCCATATTAAGACTGATAATGATTCTTCAATATTATTATACAGCAGAATCACTTTGAGATAAACGGCAAATCACAGCATTTCTTGACAGCAACCGTGAATGTAGATTATATTAACGTCACATTACCCAATGAAAAGCAACATAACAAACAGGTTTATAAATGGGACTTTTTACATACAGGATTTAGCAGCCAATAAAACATGAGAAAAATATACAGAATTCCAAGTCTAGTTAGAAAATCTAGCAGTGAAAGGGTAACTTATGTTTGTTGATATACAATAATCATTCTTGTTTTTAGGTTCAAACATAGAGAGATTTAGTAAAGAGGTGATATGGGATTATTTCCTATCAAGAAATAGGGATGATGTGTTAGTTGCCTGGATACATAAAAGTTTCTCTGAAGACAAACATCTTAGTACTGGTCACAAGGAGGATAAATGGCCCGTATCACACTTGCCGAAATTAACAGCGGACTTTGTCAACAAAACAGACAAGTGTACTGGAAGAGTAAGGGAGATAATTCTTACAGCATTTGCTAGGTACCGTTATTTTACATGAACTTACTTCATATTTTCATTTTACATGAACTTACTTCATATTTTCATTTTACATGAACTTACTTCATACATGTATTTTCATTTTACATGAACTTACTTCATGTTTTTATTGCACGTGAATTAAATTCATAAATTCATTGTACATGAACTTAATTCATATTTTCATTTCACATGAACCTACTTCATATTTTCATTGTACATGAACTTACTTCATATTTTCATTGTACATGAACTTACTTCATATTTTCATTATACACGAACTTACTTCATATTTTCATTTTACATGAACATACTTTATATTTTCATTCATCTGTTTTTGTATATGGAAGGTATAGTGCAAAACTGTTGTAACTTATATTACACGAAGAAGGTATAACAATTGTTTTGCAGAAAGCCATTAAATTACACTGTATGTTGAACAGTACAACAATGTGACTTACTTTTACACCAGGACTGGTCTGATGTCATATATTAAAGTATTGTCTGAACATCAAATACTGATCATATTAAGTACATAAACATAATCTTATGATGAATAGAATGGGAAAGGTAGAAGTTTATAATTTTGTACCTTTGTTGTCAATTATTTATTTCAGGTACGGGTTGTTTACCCAGGAGGCTTCGTCCAGCTTCCAGGTACTGTTGAAACGGTTGAATGGGATAGGCGGACCATTACAGTTACTCCACCCACTTGAGACATGTGGTGCCAATGCTCTTCAACAGTTCCATGCTGACATTATACAATATTGTATACAACATAATCTGCAGTACTTTCTCTGGCTATATGTACATTTTCACCGGTAAGTTACATTGAATTCATGGACAGAAGAACAATATTAAAATTTCTTGCTAGTAAGACAGTAAATTGTTGCTAACAAAAAGTTTTTTGTTGTTTTTAGAATGCAACATTGTTTGTCTTTTTAGAACTAAGGTTGAAAGTCATCATTCATATTTCCTTTTTGCTTCATACTTTGGGCTAAACTTAAAAATCTGTCCGCAGTTATTTTTAACATTATGATTTTACCCTGTATTATTTCTTAAATATTTATGTTTCTCTACAAAAATAACTCCGATTACTGCTAGGGTTAGTATAATGGATTATGATTAAAGGGTTATTGGTTACCATTAAGATTTTAATACATGGATTTTGCTGCAGACAGATTTCAAAAGTGCTTCATACTTTGACCCAGTTTGACAATTCAGAGAGTGGGGGATTTGTATTTTTATGTCTGTTTGTTTTGTCTGTCTAAGGAAATTTCTGAAAACTTTACCTTTGTTTTAAATTATTTGTAACAGATTTTAAGAACGTACAATCACATTTCAGAACTTTATTAAAAATATATTGGGTGGGGAGAGGGGGTTAAAAGGGGTTTTGTTTGTAATATTTTAAGAAGAAAATCATAATATTTTGAGGACATCATTATGATATTGTTAATTGTTGATATTGTTTTATATATAATATTATAGTTTGGATGTGGAATGGTTGACACATGTATGTGATAGCTACACCAACAATTGGCTGACATTATTTCTCAAATTTATTTCTATCACCAAATCAGACCTGTGTAAGTATTTTATAAATCAGTAACTATGTTGTCATGATAATTTAACCTTTAGCTATCATCTATGCATGCCACTCTTGTGGCTGAGGGGTTGCCTTAAAAGGTTGAGGCATCAGAATTGCATCCACAGTTTATCCCTGTGTGATCGTAGGGTTCGAATTACTTGAGTCTCTTAGCTCCAGCAGGTGAGGTGGTTTTGACCCCTGGTGTTGCTTTAAGTTTGTAACACCTGACGTTGGCCAAAATCATCTTTCCCATTTTGGCGCCATATGACATAAATTGTGTTGAAGCGCCAAAACCAAACAAAGCACCTACCCATGTGGCCATTGTATACCAAGATCAGTCAGCACGCCATCTAGTCATGGTCGGCTCTGTTTGCTATTCAGTCAGTACATATTTTGAAAGTTTTCCCTCAAGATGATGAATGGTTTTGTCCAGATTTAAAAATGGGCAAGTCCATTTAAGATAATTAGCTTGATGTGGGTTAATACATAAAAGCAGTTATTATATTTAATACATGCATCTTGTTTGGTTATCATGATGTTATATGGAAGTGTGTAAAATTTGTGATAATTTGCAGTTTGTTTGAATTTTTTTTTATCAAAGGTTCAACGCACTTACTGTTGAACAGTAGTCAAAATTTTAACAGAGTTTAATGTACATTGTATCTTGAACTTTCAGTTGGGCAGTGTATGTTTGAGGGCAGTTTAACCAATTCTGTTGCTGTATGGGGTGAGGAGAGTGGTAGTGTGGGGCAACTTCTACAGTCCGGCCACACCCTGGCAGCACTGGCAATACTTATGTACTCTCATCATAAGCTACAACAGGTTCAAGTCTTTCATTTTGTTCTATACTTAATCATTTTAAGCTTGACTATTTGAAGAATGGGGAGAGCTATTGTATTTCCCCAGCATTGCCATCGTGGTCACACTTTGGTTAAGTTTTTGCGTGTAAGATATATCACCAAATATAATGAAGGGAATAGGTTAAAACTTCACACACTTGTTCTCTGTGGTGTTCTAACATGATGGGCACATGTCCCATAACTCTGAGTTATCTTTTTACAGAGTAATGCCCCTTTTCTTAATGTCAAGCACAGAAAATAGTTAGAGGTGCTGTTTCAATTTGATAATTTTTTATAGAAATAAGATATAGAAATTTGAAAGATATAAAGTCTATAATTTTTGTTTATTATATAACAGAGTCTAATGAACTTTGCAGATTAACATCTTAAATATTAATTATTGATAACATGATACATTGAGCCATATCCTTCAAGTTAGATTATTTCTAGATAAACGTTCCGCGATGTAGAATTTTTAAGCTTTTTATTACCAAATGAAAGATTGGTTGTAGGTTGTTCTACAGAGGTAACTGCCTCTGCTGAAAAAAAATGTACACTCAAGACATACCAGTACAGCTATTTAAAATGTTAAGGTCAATCGTGTATAAAATATTTAATGGGTTACATTGTTTACACTTGACGAGACTCAAAAAAGTTATATCATGCAAAGTGTCGTGTAAAATTTGTAACATATACTGAAAATTGTATTGTACATACAATATAGTTTTAGATACCATTTTACTACACTATGTACAGATTAAACCATCTTTACCTATTTACACTGTATATGATTGTTATTTTAACATTATTATTTATAGGTAACATTTGTGACACAACAGCTTGAAGCGTTTGATGGTTTATCATCAGAAATTGTAGAGAGTGCTCTACAAAGTTACCCTAAACTACAGGTGACACTGTTTCCTGCCAGTGTTACAGATCTACCTCATACAGATGTTTCTGTGTATCAATTGCTGGTCGGAAATGCACCTTTTGATCCAGCTAAATTATTCGGGTGGCAGACCACTAATACCTTAGCTGGAGAAGGTATGCATTGTTTATGGTTGTTTTATCGGTTTCATTTAATGTAATTTTAATCCAGAAAGAGGCATCCTTGGCCAAGTGGTAAAAGTGGTTGATTTCAAACCTTCTGTCCCTCACTACTATGGGTTTCAATCCTGAGAGGGACTTTGAATTTTTTTATGTAAGTAAGCTTCTATCAAGCTAGCTTATGAAATGTTGATGGAATATCTGAAATAATGCAGTGTTGGCATTACTTAAAACCCAAGAAAAACAACAAAATGTTTACAGAATATGTAATGTTGAATCAGTCTAATATCTGGATTATTAAAGAAGCTACTATTTTTTCACATGCTTTCTTGAAACAAAATTCAGATCTCAAATAATCTCATGCTACTTTATAATTTATGCAAAGCAGCGCTGATGCAATCTATTTAGAATACAGTAGGTGTGTAAATGAGTGTTTGAATTAATTACAGATTCGGTGCTGGAGATGCCATATTTCTCACACCCAGAGCTCGTCAAACGGTACGGCTATAGTGAACATTTGAAATACATCTACTATCTGAAACAAGCTAGACCTAGCTTTGCTTTTATTACCTTCCTGGCTGAAGAGTTCAAACATGGAGGCTCAAATTTACCAGCAAAAAGGTAATCTTTTATATTTGTGTGAAAAATATGTACAGACAGATTTTTAGCTAAAGAAAGTTAAATTAAAGTTTTTAAAAAAGAAAAAAAAATGTAGTACAAATCAATAATTAATTGACAAGCATGCATCTGCTACTCTTATTTTCTATAGACATCTTAAAGATATCGTTACTAAGACCCAAGAGAATGTTAACTGAACACTAGAAATTTAGGATATCACCATGGTGATGATACTTTATGGTGATGATATGTTATATTGACCATAATTGTTGAAACGATATTGTGAGAAAAATATTTTATTTTGACCATGCAATAAAAAAATATGCAATTGATAAATATATTTGCCATTTTCAAAGTGAAAGAAGGATTTCCCACTCCTCATGAATGAGCCATTCACCTCTGGATTATTCTGGAGCAATTTACGATATCCATGTATAGATCCCCTTTCTTAGCATCCATGATGGTTTATGGAGTCAAGTAAACTTTGTTTAGATTAGGACAAAAAGGTCATCTGGGTATCTGTTAGAAATGACGCATTTAACTGATCATTTCTCAGTACTTTATGCAGATTTTTTTTTAAAAAGGTAGACAATAAAAAAAAATCATTTTCTACTTTGAACAAAATGTGTTTAGTTATAATGACTCTGATTAACATATTATTTGTGTTGTTTTTTTCCAGACTCGCTGTATCTATAGGAACATCACTGTGGATTGGTGTAAAACATTTCCACAACTCTCAGATATCATCATCTTGTGTGATGTTTCAGGAGTTATTGGGACATGATAGTATCATGTTGAGGCTATATATAGATGTAGGGTGTAAGATTCTAGCTTACAGGAACCAGGCGGTTACTGGTACCATGGATAAAAGACGGGAACAAGTCAGGAGAAATGAACAAGATGTTGGTAAGAAGTTTGTTTTTATGTATAATGATATTGTTTAGGAAAACATGAGTAACAAATAAACAAATGTAAAGGGAGGGATTTTTTAAAGAACTCCACTGAGGTCCAAAAGCCTGAAAAAACATTGAGTTTTAATTTCTTACTTGGGCACTTAAAATTGAAAGATATTCAAAGGAAAAAAAAAGTGCAATATACTCAGAATTAAATTGAAATAAGTGTTGTTGTGCTATTCTTAGCCTGACTAGAGTTTGGTTTATGTGCTTTTCATTTTTGGGGCTTTTTCACAAATAAAATAATTTTTCTGGGATAAGTGCTGCACAAATAATCTAACAATTTGTACACAAGTTGTCTGTAAAGATGATTAAATGATACATAAATATCGAATATATATTTCCAGTCCTGTCATGTAAAAAAAACTCTCAGTGTAGTCCGTTTAAGGTATTTTGTGCAATACTCTTTCCTTGACAATGTGTAAACTAAACTATAAATAAGTCCAGTACAGACCACAATTACCTACATTAAAGGACATGACATAAAAAAACAACAAAACATTTTGTCTAGATCTCAGCAAACTTAATGCATGTGAAGGAGAATTGGGTGGTAAGTTGATGTGGTTCTAGAGTAAAACTGATTTGTCACCTGACATTTACTAATGTATGCTCTAAATTTTAGTGGAGATGTTGTTAGACTGTATACAGATGGGTCGCCAGTTTTCATCAACAGTCCTGGAAGCCTTAGAAGCTGCCACTCTAGCTGCTATAACACGAGAGAAACTTAAACTGTATTCGTATGTATAGTTTGAATGTACATGTATATCATTTTAGCTGTGAAACTGTTTTAGCTGTTTAGTTTATACAAATAGTTTGATTGTGTTGGAAGCTATAAGCTTATTGAAACACTCTTGAATCTGTTCCTGGGATCAACCAGTACTAAGCAATGAATGTAAAAGTTCTTGCTCAAGGAAACAATGGCTTGCCCCTGACTTGGTCTGAACCCATGCGGCCAGCGACTTAGGTTACTAGACTGATGTGTTAACCACTCTTATTTCTTCACTTGGAATGTAACCACTTTTCTTTGTAAAATAATGTTTTGTAAATAATCTTTCGTCACAAACAATCTTTTACCTGTATTAAAAAATTGCCAGCAGAAGGCATTACTTTCCTATGTACTTAAAATGAATCATTTTTGGAAAAAATAATCAAAACATTATGATGTTTAGAATGGTAATATTAATTGATACAGTGATAGAGGGCTAAGTTCTCTTTCATTTTTATATTGATGTAAAATAGATGGTAGTGGTGGCTAAGTAGATAATGTGTCAGCCTTTCAACCAAGGAATCCTGATTTTGAGCTATACTGGGGATCACAACCATATTTCCACATATGACAGCTGTACTGGTTAGAAGTTGTTTAAATATGCTTCAAGCTTTCATGATAATTAAGCTAAAATAAATATGTTTAACTTCAAGAGAATATTTTTAACATTACTAGGTATGAAGCAAGCAAGTTTTGGACTCTGGTGGTACTATTTTGTCACTTACACCAGCTTCCGTACACAACAGTATTCCTGGAGTCGTGTGCCGAGGCCAAGCAATGGTTACCATTTGTATGGTTCGCACAGATATATCAGTACCCTAAAGAGCAGGTATAATTTAAATGCATTTAGTGTTAAAGTGATTATCTCCCCTTCCTTTTTGGTGAAAACTTAATGATTCCAGTAAAGTTTTACATTCAATATCCTTTTTTGTATGAGAAAAATTTACAAATAAACATGATATTTTATTGACAACATGTTTGTAAACTTGTCTTATGGCTGCCTTTTCTGATTTACATTTTTAAAAAAAAAAAAAAAAAAAAAAAGATTGCAAAAAAAACATTGTTTTTTGTTTCAGTTACAAAATTTGCTACACAAATTTGAATCCAGTAATCTGCAGGAACATTTACGTTACATCCTGGTTAATGCGGAAGTTAGAACAACGCAGGCAGAAGTAAAGAAAGTACAGGCTAAACATCGGTCAGAGAGAGTCGCTAAAGATATGAGGTCAAATCTGTACTCTAGAATTGGACTAGTTAAAGGTGCTGATTCAGGTGAGATGTTCGTCTAGGTAGGAAAAAAAACTGTTTGGTCTAAATGAATATGGTCTTTTTACCCCACATATCTTAAATGGACTTGTCCATCTTTCAAAATGATCTCAACCATTCATTGTTTTTAGGTAAGTTTCAAAATATGTACTGATTGAATAACAAACATTATGATTATTACAACAGCAAAGATTAAGCCTTAAACATTTAAGGAATGATAATTTAAAGAATATAAACCATACAAAAGTTCGATTGATAACTAACTTCACTAAAAATATTATACTGAGAAATACTATGCCTGATAAGTTCATCTGCAAGCATTTTAAGTTATATTGACTGATGAACTGTAAACTTTGGCTCAAACACCACCCTCTAAATTGTCTATGTGTACAGAGGGTCTCTCAGAAAAGGATAAATTTATATTAGATGTTGTTGTCTGCAGAGAGAAGTGTTTAGTACTTGTATTAGAGAGAATGGTATATACAATGTGTCTATATTACAGATATGTCTAGTACATCTGATGATGAACATGATGATGGGAAGATGACAGGCAAAAATGATGACATACAAGACGAGAATATAGGTGACTAGTCTTACCATATTTACTTTCAGTATTTCTCACTTATAAGTCTATATTGATAAAAAAATACGATTGCATTTCTCACTTATAAGACATACTGCTAAATTAATTCAGCCCACTGGTGCCTGGAATAATGCTTAGAGGGAGCACCTGAGGTCTCCCTTCACCAGTAAAGTTGGAAAGTTGCCATATGACCTTTAACATGTTTAATGTGACAGTATGACTTAAAACCCAACCAACAACCAACAAAAAATATCATCCACTTGTAAATGAAGTGTATTGATCATTTGAATGCACATGTGTTTGTTTAATTCTTTGTATATAAATGTATATAAAAAAATTGATTCAGAATCCTCTAGTCTCGAAAAAAACAAACTATGTTTTTTTTTTAACAGAGGTGAATGTAAACAGTGCCCCAGCTGATGTATTTGGTGTAGTGTTTGCTGCTCAAGCCACCAAACAGCCTGCCAAGTCCTTGCTACTTTATGCTGTCACACTGAGGAACACTTTGTTTGCTGAACTAGCCGCAAGTTTAGAGGTCAGTCACATTTCATTATTCAAAAACTTATAATTATAAGAATTTAAAAATTTTAGTGGAAATGAATATATCTTTTTAGAAATAGCCAAGTAAGCCTTGGGGGAAATAAGCGGGAAAGGTTGATGTCAAATTTTAAAGATTAATGGGTCTTGACCTAAAAACTTGTTACATATTAGACCTGAAAGTTTACATTAATTGGCAATTGATCTCATACATTAAGTCTAATGGTCATTTGTCTCTCACTGCTGATATAGACATAATGTGGGATTAGTAGTTGGTCACCTGCAGAGAAATTGATAATTACTGGTTAGTTATTCAAAAAAGATGGTTAGATGGACAGACTGCCATAATGTTAAAATTGACGTAAAATACCAAACAAACAAATCATTGACAAATTGTTCCAGTTCATATGATGAAATATTTGCATGAGGAGAAAAAAAATGAAGATGTTAAATGAAAATCAGCTATTGAATTACATTGTATATGCCTTTATGCTAATAAGCCTTAGAAATTTCAGTAACATTCAGTAAGTTTTGTTTTTACAAGTGTATTGTAAAATACGCACTTTTGATATGTGACGTGACAAATTCTTCAATTTTTTTTTATAAAGATTGTGTTATTTTTATTCATTAAGGGTGCTTCAGTGTTGGTATGTCTGTGTAGTTGGTTGGTAGCCATGATGGATGTCACTGAGCATGCTCAGTTCCTGGAGAATTATGGGAAATCACCATGGAGATACACTATACATACACTAGACGCCATATTGGATCTTTACATTAGTAAAAAATGGGGATCTCTACTTGTCACAGGATTTGATATATTTCAACAGGTATACAAGGGTTGAGTAATTTTACTCTAAAATGGCAAATATTCATGAAAATTTTGTTAAATTTTCAACAAAAAAATGCATAATGATAATTGCCAAAAGGATTTTATATTTAACAAAATTGATACCATGGTAACTGTAGGCTTGATATAAAGTATGGGTTTTTCTCCCTAATTTAGAGTCACTTTAAACTTATAATAAGGCCTTTTATCTTATGCTTTTAAATGATATACATTGTACTTCAATAAAGCAGTGGGATATTAGTCATTTCACATTGTTTTAAACCGGTTGAAGTTGAGTATAAAATTTTTGTTCCAATTTCATACATTTAAAGGTAAAGCATAGGAGAACACACAGTGCATAGAATGTAAACATGATTTCATATGCAGTAAAAAATTTCAATTTTTTATACATTTATAATTTTGTCCTTGGTTGAAAAGGTGCAAGAATAAAATCTGTTATTGTTCTATAGATTTTCTTATGATTTCGTTGGTTAATTTCATGATATCATTGTACCATCAGAATATTCTAAACCATGTGATAATGTTTTTTCAGAGTTCACCACTCCTACCATTCCTGCAGTTTTATACAGAATTTAGTGAGAAACAAAATTACTGTAACTGTCGTCTGCTGCTAGAAGAGTTTAAAGAATCTGTGTTTCAGGTATTGACTTATAATTTAACCTTTGACCTCTTCCAATAACTTACATGTATACATATTTAACCCTTTCCCCCATGAGCATATTGTGAAAAATGGCCGTTTTCACTGAAAAGCCTCCTGTTACAAGTTCAAACTGCTATGAAACTATGAAAAATGCTTCAATACTAATCAAACTTGGCACAAATGTTGACTGGACCATTGCCTTTGTAACGACATGCTCAGTCTTACATTTCCTGTTACCATGGCAACGAGGGGACATCTCAAAATTGCCAAAAATCACTATTTTGCCTCGATTTTTTTCCATCAAAATTTATTTCAAACTGCTGCAACTTCTCAAGGGATTGAGAGAGAGTCAAAGGCTTGTCAGTGTTGGTTACACGTTACATTATGATCGACCTGGGGTCATTTTTAGCCTCTCACAAGTCAAAAATTTTCTTGGCGATGAGGGGGACTTTTAAGCAACATTTCTCAAACGAAAGCTTAGGTTTGGGGCCCAAATAGGACATTTTTTCACTATTTGAGGCCTAAAAAAGGGGGGGGGGTCGAAAGTGCGTTGTTTCGCGTATATATGAGGTAAAGGGTTAAGAGAATTTATTTGGAACAATTATCTAACAAATTTCAATGTGTTGGTGTGATCTAAAAAAAAGGAATATCTTTTTCCATGACTCAAGCAGCAAGAAAGATACAAAATCATGCATTTTGGGAATTTACTGTCTTACTGCATTTTGAAACAGGCCTGTTTTAAAGAGGGGGAATTCTTATTATTCTAATGTATAAAATTATGTAAAATCATTGCCTTTTGTTAATTATAATTTGCATCTAGGTAACACAGATGGATTTTGAATGTATAACCATTAATTTATGTTTTTTGAGCTTTCAAAGAATTTTCCTTCAGTTAGCTATGTTTATGATCAGTGAAGTTACATTAAAGCAGCATAGTTGGAGATTAATTCATTTTTTTTTTGGTAAAAGTTTAATTAGTGCTTTAATTTATTGATTTTATAGTTTAATCATGAGAAGAGTGTACGAGTGTTAGAATGTATTGGAGACAGTGATTGGTTAGAGAAGACAACTTATCGTATCATACAGTACATGTTGACATCAACACCAAGTGTACATAAAGTCACACAGTTACTGAAGATTCTGGATAGTGAGAGTATCACTTTAGTGTTTAAACAAGTTGGTAAGTTGTTTATTTTATTATTCAAATCATTTCATTTCATTATTATCTTTAACCATTAACCTGCAGGGGTCAAAAGTACTTGATTTGGCAAGTGTAAGATAAAACAGTCACATACTTGAATTATGAATTCTGCTTCTGATTCATGTTATGTCATGACAAACGAACAAAAACTTGTTATCAGCAATTATCTCAAAACAAAGTTATTGATAAGTTTTCTATCTATCTTATATGTGTTTATATTTGATAGATCCGGACTTTCGTCGTCAGAGTCAGTTACTACAGTGTATAGAGGACACAGAGATAGAACAAGTTAATTTTACATCCCTTCTTGTACCGTCAACTACGGAACAATTTGAGAAAGAATGTTTAGTTATCATAGATCAGTTGATTAACAAACAGAAGTTTCACGAGGGCAGAAAGTTTGCTAAAATTGCCGGGATAGGCTGTGACCATGTCACAATACAACAGGTGAGTTACTATCACAACAGTGAGTTACCCTCAGAACAGTGAGTTACCCTCAGAACAGTGAGTTACCCTCAGAACAGTGAGTTACCCTCAGAACAGTGAGTTACCCACACAACAAAAACCTCATAAGCACCATGAAATACTATAATTCACCTCATACTCGTATTGTTTATTTAAGAAATATATGAAGACTTGATAAAAGAAATTATGTTAATGTTCATTTGTCATTTAAAAGTTCATTCATGTGTTGAAGCTATGTGGAAAGTTTTCCAAATATTATTGTTGCACATCTTTTACTGCCAGAACTGTTTCATGATGGTGCATAAATGCCTTGATATGACAATAATTATGGTGAGGGCTATCAGACCAATTTGTATAAAACCCAACCAACAAAAAAACCCAGCCAGTTGTTTATGCTTCCATAATATACATGAATTTAAACACTGGCTGCTGAAATACAGTAGATGGAAATATCTGGCTGCAGGTTAATTGTTTATGATGGTACCAACACAACCAGGAGTAATGAAAACTAATATTTTGTTAGCAATTGTCTCTTTAAGTATTAAGAATTATCAACTTGTTTATGGTGGTTGCAGAATGATAACATTCAAAGTATGTGGTTCATGACATTTTCCAGCACTGGTGCAACCACTAGAAAATCTAGCCTGATTTGCAAGAATAGATTTTGTAAATTTTTTTAATGTCATTTGCATGATGCATTGAAAGTATTAATGTTAACATTATGTTGAAGGTAAACTTTTTAATAATGTTGAAGGTAAACTTATGTTAACATAATGTTGAAGGTAAAACAAGAGAAGGATAGACTATGTAGCACTGATCTATGGCAGTCTAGACAAGCCAGGTTCAAGTTTTATAAGGACTGTACCATCAAGTTTAAAAAACACAAGATACTTCCAGAAACAGTTGCTGAATTCTTCAAGGTAATATTTCAATGATTATAATTCTATATGCTTGACTTTTCACTCTTCTTTGTCATATTTTTAAAAAGATAAATACAAATTTGAAATTTCAAGTTTTATTGATTAATGGATTATTAATTAAAAGCTTTTTAAAGAGTAATTTTGAATGTCATCAGTACATAATGCATACAGAAATATTGAAATAGTTAAATATATCAAATTACCTCCCTTGTGTTGACGAGTGATTTTGTGTAACAATATAAGTTATACATGTTTTGATAAATTATTCATCAAATTTGAAATCAGAATTTGTGTAAGAAAAACCAAAAACAATATAGTTGCAATTTTTTACGCCACAGTAAAAATTACGCCACAGTTGGGACTGAAATTGGGCTTATTTAACGCGTGAAGTCAAAAATGAAGTAAAAAATATGATTTTTCCTCATCAACCTTAAGTAGAATTTAATAATGTTTTGGTTTAAAATTCAGTACTTTCAAAAGTACTTGAGTGAGGTGTCAGTGGCCGAGTAGTTAAGGTAGTTGACTTCAAACCATTTGTCCCACCCACTGCTGTGGGTTCTAATTCCAACAGGGACTTTGGATTCTTTCATATGAGGAAGCTATCCAGCTAGCTTACAGAGAATCATTGGTTCTACTGAGATGCCCGCTTGTGCCTGAAATAATGCATGGAAGGGCACCTGAGGTCTTTCTTAACCAGTATAGCTGGAGAGTTCCCCTATGACCTACATATATACTGTGTTGGTGTGATGTAAAAACCAACCAAGAAAGTGTGTGGGGGGGAGGGGGTAAGTACTTGATATTAACTTATTTTAATCTGAAGTAGAGGTAAACACTCCCCTTAATGCTGAAATAAAATAGTGCAATTGTAGTTATTCCTTTCATGATAATATTACTATCGCGGTGTCTTTTCCTGTCAGACTGAGGTTGAGAAGATAGAATCAGCGTCAGAGAAGGCGAGTGTATATGATTTATGTCTACAGTGTATGGAACAGCTCGGGAACACGTGCGATACAGAAAGTTGGTCACAAATCTATCGTATGATTTGGTTAAATAGGATACAGGACAAACTTAGTAGCACCACAGTAAGCTCATTGAATAGTAATTGCCTCCATTTGAAAACAACCCCTTTAACATCATATATTCTTATTTGAATTGACATTATTTAATTTTTAAAGATTTCAGTTTTTGCCTCTGGAAATAATAATAAGAAAACTATGAAAATCTGATATTCCTTACCTATTCATACTTGTCTTTGACATCTCAAGGGCAGTTCAGATTTCTTTTTTTAAAAAACAACATAAACATCTTTTGACCTAATTTTTAAAATGATGTTAAAGGTTTGTTTTGAGATGCCAGCCATCGATAATATACTCACACTTACTGAAAAGTAATATATATACATTGTAAAAAAACTTTAAAAAAAAAAGCTAAATCTTTTCATCTTTACCACTTGCCATCAAGGCTGAGGGTTCCAACCCTATTAAAGACTTTGTCTTATTTCATGTAAGAAAGCTTTCCAGCCTTGAAATGTTTTACTCGGGCCCCAGCTTGTGCCTAAAATAATGTATTTCCCTATCTTAATTTCTGTGACTTGTTCTAACATGGTTGTTTGTTCCTCTCATATTTAAAAAGATTCTGTTTTTGAAATAATTAAATAGCCAAACCTGTATTTGAAAATAGTTCAGTTGTATTAATGAAATTTATAATTGATTTTTAAGGTCACTACTATGATAGACAGTAAACCTGACTTGTTTTCGGAGGGGAACGTCAATGATAAAGAATCTACTGGTGTGAAGACGGACCTTATGTTCTGTGGGAAAATGCCTTCATCTTCAGATGTGCCAGATAATTTATCAACACAGGTAATTGATTGAAATTTAATTGCCCTTATATTGCTGATATATAAATAGCAATGATAACCAGTTTAGAGCCAGGCCAGTTTGTACCCCAATGTAGTTTGCCCTAGCTATATGTATATACTGGCTGACCAAATCATTAATTTTGATTTCATAATAGACTGTTTCAGAATGGAAATTGGACAGGTTAATTAAGAAAATTCATGAAGTTAATGATAAAACTGTATCATATATTCATACTTTATATAAATATATTTTGGAAACTGCTGGCCTCAGTTATAATTTTGATGTGTTTGATTTTGGCTACAAATTACTATCCAAAACATTGTTATATTTTAGGATATTAAATCAAAATGAGGTGTGAGGTGCAAGTTAGAGTCTGTTGTAATGAAAAGATACAAACTTTAACACTAAGCAACTGTTTCTGCTCATGCAAGCAGTGTAGACCAAGAACATGGTCTGCACATATCACTTTTCAGTCAGTCCATATTTCGATATTTTCCCTAAAGATTATAAATGGCTTTGTCCAATTTGACAGTCTGTTTAAGGTATTCAGTGTGAATTGCTTTACAAAAGATTCAATCAGATTTCAAAGCTTTATTATCTTTGTTCAGGAATTACAAAAATTATCTTGAAAAAACAGAAGTAATTCGACTTGCACTAAATTTGTTTGTTAGTTTGTCACTCTTCCTCTAATAATTATCTTTTTGGATAAGGAATTGGAGGTTGTGTAGATAAGGAATGTGGGAAAGAGGAGGGGAAGTTGAGATACTGTGGCTAATTTAAAATATGAGACTAAGCAACTGTTTCTTAATTTATAATATGTGATTATAGAGTGTACATGTAAGTTTATGAAATATTCAGTGACATTATTTTATATACAGGAAGTGAAAGCAATACAAGAACTTGCCGGAGAACTGTTTCATGCTGGGAAAGTAGCAGAAAGTTGTAGATTACTGACAGAATTCAATGTTTATCTACAAGACCTTGCCATAGTTCTGGTTAGTATGAAGTTAAACATATATATCATCATAATTATCAGGGCTGATTGATAAATTTGTGGATATTTGATCTGAAGAATTTATTTGTTTATCAAATCACTTGAAAAACTTGTCTTCACTTCATGCCAGTGGGTGTATTGTTTGTAATTTTAGCATTTCTGATTCGAAATTTAATGGAATGTTCATATGTGTTTACTAGTAACATCCCAACATGTTATGCTGATAGTAATTAAAGAACCGGGAGAAATGAGATCACACTATTTACAGTATTTATTTTTTGTAATTTATTTCTATTGTGCAGACATGTATAAGACTGAGTGTTGGGAGTTTATCACTTGATACAATGTCACCTGAAATACTACACCTGCTGAGGTCACGACCCGGGGACATTCACAGACAGTCAATAGCTGCACCTGTTGCTCTTCTTAGAAACTCCAGCAGTAAGTTCATCTGTGAAAAAGTTCTTCTCTTGTCTTTACCTTTTAACTGCTAAAACCAAAAGTGTTTTAGCCTTTGCAACAAGTAGAGTGCCAACCCCTTACATTGATTGTTGAAATGAGGGTTGATTATCTTGGTTTTGAGTTACCCGCTCTTGATCATGAATGTGTTTGCTATTTTAAGTAACTTCAGGTTTTCAGTCTGCATCTTTGTATTTATAAAATATGTAGTGAACATCCTTAGTAAAATATGTAATTATGTTATTAACAAATATTCTCTAGAAAATCTGTATTTCTTTCGCTTTTTTTGACATACATGTATAGTAACATTTTGATTTACTTTTTTTTTGTAAATTGAAAAGAAGTGATTTCTTGAGATAGGAGTCTGTAGATGGTCTTCATACTGCATATCCAGTGTAAACAATTATAATTTTCATATATATATATATATACCTGGAGTATGTACAGGAATGTTATATATTAAATAACTTTTTACTCTAGGTCGTGTAACTCGTCAATATTAATGTCATAATACACGGCAATTGCTTTCGTTGATTTAAATAAAAAATAATTCCTAGATTTATACCAGCCACCTTTACAGATAATATAAACATTTTGATTGACCAATGAAAAATGTTGTTACATACATGTAGTATTTTGATATAACAATGTACATGCATGATGATTACAGCTATCAGTTTGATGAGTAATATACAGCCTGTGATAGATTCTGTTTCCATGGAGAATGAAGCTAAAATATCCGCCATGGAATGTCTGCTTAATCATCTACAAAATGGCCGACCAACATGTATACGTATCATCACCGCCTTTAAAATAGCTGCTGTAAGTATCTGTCCTCATTATTCTATGTACACATGAACAGTGGTGCTTGGTCTGAGCTTTGTAAAACATCTGCAATAGGGTGGTGGCCTTTGATATTTAAGTACTTAATATTTCTGTAACTTTGTATGAATGAATTACTTTCACTGACTTATTTTACTGGTATTGACTGTTGCATTTCTATTTAAAATTATTTACATGTATATCCATCCAAGTTTAAGTCAGTGATAAAGAAAATAACATTTAGATTAATCTTCAGTTTTTACCTCGACTATTCACAGAAAAACCAAGCTAATGTAGTCACCCATTTGTCGGCGTCCCTGTGATTACCTAACATGATTGGCACAAATCCCATAACTCTTATTTGCTTTTTTGCATAATTATGCCCCTTTTTCAACTTAGAAATTCTTCGTTAAGTTTTTGCGTGTAAGCTGGTATCACCATAACTACTGAAGGGATTGCATTGAAACTTCACACACTTGTTCTCTGTGATTGTTTAACATGATTGGCCAAGTCCCATAACTCTGATTTGCTTTTTTGCATATTTATGCCGCTTTTTTGACTTAGAAATTCTTGGTTATATTTTTGCCTGTAAGCTGGTATCTCCATAACTACTGAAGTTTTTTTGCCTTTTTTTTGTGACAATTTTATGCATTCATAAAAATCAAGCAGTGATTTACTCAATAAGACATCTTAATAACAAGCCTTTGTACCTTTTCGGACAATTTTATGTATTCATTTAGGTAAGCATTATTATACTCAATGAAGCACCCTTGTGACAACTTTTTCAAATAGTTGAGCGTCGCTGTCCTTCGACAGTTCTTGTTATATTTATCATTTTTGTGCTACTTATGCAAATGAGCACATGTTTGAATAACTGTGATATGAGCTGAGGGACAAGACTCTTGCGGCAAGTACTAGACATAAAGGATCTTACATTATATGTTACTTCGTGTAGACTTGCATTTAACTAAGCTAGGGTAGGTTCATAAAAAATTTAAGAAGGTTAAATATTCAATATTATTTGTATGAAATAATGGTTTTCTTTGAAAACAAATTGAAATTCCAGAAAGATATACATAAATCATATATTTATTACAGGTTCTTTACATCGGCTATGATGATGTAATAAGTAGTGAAGATTTTTTCATCCTTAAGTCTCTACTAAAAACTAACTGTTCAGCTAAATTCAGATTGTCAGCTGATTTCCTGGCAACAAGTAGTTTATCAGCCCAGCAGGTATGAAACATTTGGTTTATATCAGTATTTAGTTACAGTTAGCAAATTATACAATTGCTGGTTAAAGCAGCATGCCTCCAGATTCATGCTAATTTTCATGAAAATTTTGAAAATGTATTTAAAAGTAAAATATTGAAAAGTGAACAAAGAAAGTAATTTACACATTGCAAATGGCACTTACAATCCATCTAAATTACCAAAAATATGTTAAAATATGCAAAAATAGCACTGATTTCAGGTAGACAAAACATAGAGCAATGCATAATCAAATATGTTTAAATATGAATTTCTTTTCTGTCTTCAAGTACATTAAAACTTGTATAATTATAGATTTTATATTTAAAGATTCATTGTTTTAATATTACAGGTTGCTGGGTTTCTATCTGATGCCATTCTCCAGTCATATAAAGTAAGTATTGGAGACACAGAAGGCAATCAGGAGTTATTTTTTGATCCCAGTGAAAACTTTGCTGACTTTCATCAGATTGTGCGTCTGTGTCAGGAACCGTCGTTGCTTGGTAACAGATTGTTAGACAGTGTTGCCTCGTTGTCAGGAAATCTAGAACAACTAAATGATAAAGGTTAGGCATCTTTTATACAGTTTTACACAATAATTTTTACCATGGATTTGATTTGTATATGTTTTTTCTTGTATAAGTTTCATTTCATTTGCTGTTGAAAATTTGTTAGTGAGTCATTAAGTCATAAACTTAAGGTACCAAACTCCTATAATGTGCAAACAAAATGGCTTATACTATCTGGGAATAAGTGGTGACTGAAAAATCATTCTGTGACATATTTTGCAGAGGAAATAGTTAATTTACAACACATTTACTTTTCATCAATATAATAAAGGAGTTTCACTGAGGTCCAAAGGCCTAAAATATAAAATTTGAAATTTTTGGGACACTTAAAAAGGTTTGTCATACAGAAAATAATAAACAATTATACTTAGAATTAAATTGAAAAATAATTTAGTGTGTAATATTTAACCTGATTTGAGCCAAAAGCATTTAAATGCTTTTCATCTTGGAGTCATTGTGCATAATTTAAGTGATTATTCTTGCAAAATGGATTGAGCAAATGATTTTAAATTTTGCACTGAGAAATTTTGTACAAGGAATGTCATAGTTGAAATTTTGAAATTGATCAACTGACAGTATAGTCTTCTAGACTTAGCAGTAGTGCAGTCTGACCTGTTTTGTTTGGCAAAGTCAATTCATTATTACAACTGAAATTGTAAGAATACACAATACCCTTAGTCTGTGGAATTTCCTTAAAGGGCTTGTCCAGCTACTGTCAATTATCAATACCAAGATGAAATAAGTTATTCAGCCAAGAGTATAGATCCGGTCAGACTGCATTAATGTACAGGCTGGCCTGGCTGTATATTTTTGGCAAAGGCTGATCACATTCATTTCCAGATGGTTAATGGTTATATACAATTTTGTTACAGTGTTGACATTACAAACAGAGCTGTTGATACTGGCTCATGAGTGTTATACAGCATCTTGTGACATGGAGGGTATATCTAACATTCTACGTGCTGCAAGAATATTGACATTACATCTACAGGCAGCTGGGGAACATCAACTTATGGTAGGCAGTACTTTATGTGTTTTAGGGTTAGGGAGGGCAGCAAACTTAATTCAAATAACAAAAATTGCTGGCTGTCAGAGTTATTAAATTATTACAGGCCCCTACCCACATAGCTCAATAGGGAGAAATAGGTTTATTGTTCCAGGGGTTGCTAGCTCGATTCTTGGGCAAGGTGAACTTTCTCTGTGGTAACTGATCTCAGACTTTAAGTATTATAGTCATTTGTCTCTTACCGGTGATTCAGAAATCATGTGGGATAGGAGAATCTTGTTTCTATGGTAAAGAACGTTCATTACTATTATCACAAAAATATTGCTGTTTAAATTCTCTATATACTCTTAGGACAAGACTACGGCATGTGATATTGACAAACTCATTCATTACACATCAAATATGATAAAGTTTTCACCTTTTAATAAAGTTGTAATTTAAATTTTATCAATAAATAGTCTATTTTTAAAGCTTAATTGCCTCTTTCTGAGGCTATGTTCTTATATCAGAAAAAATGAAAGTTCATTTAGATGACTCATTTTTTTGTAAATAACATTATTCACATTTATAATCATAGTGTCAAGTTAATGTGAAATTAATGTGACATCACATTGCAAAGTTATTACACTTTTAAATCTATTATTGTTTTCATTAAATGGCTTTGTTATACTCCTGCCTTGTGGTTTATGTAATGATATTATTTATTTTACAGACACGTTTATTGACTGGTGTAGGAAGATATAACGAGATGACATATATATTTGACGCCTTACAACAAAACCATCAATTTGAATTGCTGCTTGGTAAAGGCAAGGAAAAGGTAACAGTGTATTAACATTCTGTTGCCATGGCATCCTTTTTTGGCATTAAACCTACCACAGAAAGCTAACAAACCGTACACATGTGTAAATGTTGATTGAGATTAAGATTTTGTTAACCTTGGTTTTAATTTTTTATACCAGGCAAATTTTAACAGATTCATTACCTATAATGTACTATTAATAATAAAAATTGAATGAGAGTTGTCTTCTTATAAGGAGATTGAAATATATGCTCGTTGAGTAATTGACAGATACCAAAATACAACTGGATAATGCTTCCTAAGTAATTGACAGGAATTTACCAAAGTACAATTAGAACTTCTACAGTAATGGACAGAAATTTATCAAAATACAATTGGGAACTGCTCCAAAAGCTTACACAAACATTTATTGGGATGGAAGCAAAGATAATGTCTAGTTAGCAAAAACTTTTATATATAGAATATCTGTTACAGGAAACAAAATTGAAGACGGCCATTTTAGATTACTTGAAGAGATATCACCCCAGCGATACAGACACCTACACTATGGTAGCCTTGAAGTTCATGATGTATCGTGAAATTGCCCAGCTCCTCGAAGATAATGCCAACAAAGCTCTTGATAAATTAAAAGGCAAACCATTAGGTAGACATATGTATACCTATCATAGCAATATTTTAGTGTTTTGAAGTATTTTAAGTTTAAAGTTCATCATTTTTGAAGATAAATAAGATTAGTGTTCACTTTTTTTTCTGATGCAAATATAATTGGTTTGTGAGACTATGTAAGTTGGCGTCTTTTGTGATATAAACAGATTGATACCAGATTTTTGCCATAAGAAATTAAGATCTCAAAGATAGTTTCCATCTTCTTGCATACATGTACCTTTATTACTCAACATCATATATTTTCATCTAAGTTGTAACATTCTCTTTACTTCCAGAAAATACAAATGAATGTCAGGGGACATTACAGAAAATTGCGCAATATCTGTCGGAGGCGGCAGAGAGTTACATCAAGGACAGCTGTGTACGTCATGCTCAAGATTGTGTTCGTAAAGCTCGCCTCGTGGCCCTTCAGATGAAATATCTCCAATCAAATCAACAATTTATCAATCTAACTACAAAGGGGGCAAGTCTTCTGATAGCTGATCATCCTGTATTTACTGAGGTAATAACCTGATTTTGTGTAATTGATTTGCCGTTTTTGAATTTGGAACAGTCCATTCAAAGTTTGAAGGGCTTTTAGTAAAGAAATTCAAAAATCAAGGTACCAGCAGTATAGTATAAAGCTTGGTCATACAGCGCAGATGTGCAGGCTTGCTTGGCTTTATACTGGTTGCAAAGCCAGATCACTTTTTGTTCCTGCAGAATTTGTACAGTATTCCAAATACTTGCTAATGCAACTTAACTATTTGTTTCTTCTGAAACACATATACAGCATACTTTTATTACTAATTATAAGCAGTTTATGATGATGATTTATCAATATCTTGCAGGCTTACATTATAAGTGAAGCATACAAGCAGAAAGGCAACTGGCCGCAAGCTTTGTGTAACAATGTGATCAAACTTGGCAATATGAAATACCTACAGGACTTTAGATCTCATATTAGAATTACACCTTCACTTGTAGAGGATGCAGTAGACAGGTATGTTCTCCATACAGTAAAATAACTAAAGATGTGGATGGGTGGCAAGATATTTCTGTTCCTGGACAAATCTTCATGTGTGCAAAAATTGGCCCAAAATACGAATCATCCCCTTTTTTTGCAAGACACTTGAGTCCATTTGTAATATTGAAAAATACAATATTCATATTATTGCTATGCCTTAAGTTGGGGGGATATATAGTTGCCCTTGTCTTTTTGTTCTTCTGCCATCTATCGGTAGACTCACAATAAGTGGCCTATGGGAGAATCAGTGTCAAATGGACACATTTCTGTTCAAATAAAATTGTCTATACATGTTATTTAAATGATTTTATAATATTTATATAAAGTAAATAAATAAAGTAATATCAGCAATGAAGGCTGATTTTACATGCAATTAATTATATTCAGTTTGGTCGTCATCAAACTGTTTTCCATTCTGTCCTGTGTTGTTTTAAAAAAATTTAAAAATATTTATGTTCTTATTGTTCTAAATTGTTCACCAATTGTTGATTTTATGTCTGTTTTTTTTTGCTACCTATTTTTAAGTAATGTTTATGTTCTATTTTGGTTATCATTTCATTATTCAGATCTTTTCTTTTTTTTCTGACAAAAGCATTTTGTAAGTCAATGTTTTTGAAGATATACTAGTACATGTATCGACCCTTTCATATAAGCGATTAGTGGCAAGGAAGAGTTACATCCCTTACCCGATGGATTAAACTATACAGACTGTTTCGACTGTAAGCTCATCAAAAGTTTTAATATAAAATACAGATGATTGAATAATGAATATAACATGCAAAAATTGTTTTACACATGCATAAAATCCATATCAAGATACTATACAAATGTTTCAGATTAATACTTTAACTATGATTATATTTCTGTTAAACAGATACCAACAGTGTGCTGATAAAACAGCACAACAAGCCCCTGCCAACATAAAGAAATTACTACAGTTTTGTAAAGATATAAAAGTGAAGTACCGTATAGCAAAACAGTTGTCCCTCCGTGATGTGGTTCTTACCCTAGAGAAAGGCGACGCCAAAAATTATATTCTAGACTTTACATCAGGACAGTGATGTGCTTGTATGTAATTCAACTGATGATTCTATAGTTAATCTAGTTACTAATCACAAGACATTTTGACACCATGTGACCAATTTGAATATATTTCATTATTTATATGCAAATGCATTCACATGTCCTGTATTTTTGTAGTTCTGAGGTTTAGTGGTCCAATGTGAAACTAACAACCAAAATAAAGTTTACATGTAAAGATTCCAAATAAAGCAGTTCATCAAACTTGATAAGCCATCTACTGCAAAAGCAGTATTATTGGTTTGGCAGTAAATTTCATTGTTTTCGTATACAGGTCAATCTATAAAATCATGATCATATGAAATTTCATTTTGTCTGATGTAACATTATTTTGCATTACATGTAACTTTTTTTTGGTGTAAAATTAAAATCTTAAGAACCTGCGAAAATATCCTGTGATAAAATCACTAAATTTCATGCCCACGAAATTAAGTGAAATTACAGTAACTTGTTCATTTACATTCCTGATGAAAGCTGTCCTATAGATATCTCTTTTATAGCTCTTCATTATCACACAAGCCAACTAGCTGCATTTCACAACAAAATGGTTTTGTCTGTTCTAAATATGTTATTAAATTTCATGTCATGGTTAAAATGATATTAAACTTACAAGTTTTTGAAGTTGCTTGAATCACTATATTGTATATTAAAGTGCAATATTTATTGAGAATTTCTATTCTTTTGTTATATTTTCTACTTATATCATTGTTGACATTGTATTTATTGCCAAAAAAAAAAATACAAATAAATATAATTTGATATATAGAATGGTTTTACAATCGTTTTCCTTCTTATTCTTTGACTTATGCACTAATTGTATGCTTTTTTGTGACAATTTCCATATACATAAAATGTAAGGAAATAATAATTTGTATGTAACCCTTTACCTGCTATGTTTCTATAATGGCTCTGTCCAGGTTTGAATTTGAAACAGTCCATTCAAAATTCAAGGGATTTCAATATCAAAATAAAAAATTGAGCTGTCAACAGTATAGAGCCTGGTCAGACTGCATGGATGTACAAGCTGGCCTGGCTCTATACTGGTGACAAAGGCTGTTCACATTTTGTTCCAGCAGGTTTTTAACAGGTATAATTACTGGTTTCTTTCATATCAAATATTGCTGCTATGTAAAATAACTTGCCTAAGCAATCTGTGTGTAATGAGGCCAGCTTTCCCATCTTTACAGTCTGATCACACTTTAAAATTGTTGGTGGCTTAATGTAATGATCCATTCACCCACTTAGCTCATTAAGGAGGCCATCAGATTTGTAATTCAGAGATCTCTGCTTCGATCCCCACCTTCATCGGCAAGGTGACAATTGATCTCCGACATTGACTTTAATGGTCATTTGTCTCTCACCGCCAATTTAGAAATCATGTGGAACTAGTAGTCTATGTATGAATTCTAGGGTAAATGAGGGTCTATCCGCCCTTTCAGGCACTGAGAGTACGGACCGGGACTAGTAGTCTGCCACTTTTCAGCTATATATCTGGAGGAAGACCTTGGGTACTCTTTAATGCATTATTTTAGGCATGAGCATGCACCTGAGTAGAATCACCACTTCAACGTATCTGGCAAGCTTCATTGCATAAGATATCCAAAGTCCCTAGTGGGTTTCAAATCCATAGCCAATTAATGACCTTAACAATCAAGGAACTAGATTGCCAACTTCACAAAAACCATGTTACAAATGCTCAGACCCATGCTGATAAATTTTACATAAAAATCCTTCAAATCATGACGACTACATAGTCCAGACACACAGATTTTCATTTCATTTTTAGCTTAATTTTTCCACACAGAAAAAGTGGATGATGATGTTTAAGGCCATGAAATCAATGCATTGTTTTATGTATGAAAAACACAAAATTATTTTGAGCAGCATAAACAGTGCACTAGTTTAACAACAATTGAGATGAAATAACTATTTTTATTCCTCTATTTTAACATGTACAATGTGTTACTCAATTAAATACAATGCAACAACTAATATAGTGTCTCCATGAATTTTGTATAATAAATATATCATTGAACATCACAAATTACATGTACATGTAGCTAGTTATCAACATTTTCAAGCACTTTTATATCAGAATTTTTACAATTCAATTGCTTCTTTGAAAAATGGAAAAAAACAAAACATTTTTCACAGAATGACAATGGTCGATATTTCAAGTTTTAACTTCACTATGACAAAGAGTCAATCAAAGAATATTCAATGTTCACATTTAATGGAACTCATCCTCTGGCACCAGCAAACCACAGGAACAATTAAGCGTAATATTGTAGATTGGCTTTCTTCTTCGCCTGAACTTCAATGATACCATCCATATAATCTTCATGTTGTAACTCGGTAGCTCCTCGTCTCAATGCAATCATTCCCTGTAACATATACAAACATAATAATCAATATTTACATGCTATATTTCAACTCTTATCCCAATGCATCTAAGTTTAGGAAGCAATGGAATAGTGGTTAAGGTGTCTGCCCCTCAAACCAAATATTGTGTGTTCAGGTCCTACAGTGGCAATAACTGTGCTTTTACATATTTCATGGGTAGTTCTAGAAAGCTTTCTTTTGCTGTGAAGAGGATTTTACTCATGTTCTTAAGAAGAGTGAAAGCATGGAGTGTGATCTAGTAAAGAAAAATCTAATAGACATACTTTATAAAGGTCCACTTGTTTTGTTTTACTGAGCACCAACATAGTTGAGGTCATATGGCACCAAACTTAAAGCAACACCAGGGGTCAAAACCACCTCACCTGCTGGAGTTTAGAGATGTACAGACTCCAGTAATATGGACCCTCTTACAATCATGCAGGGTTAATTCTGATGCCTCAACCCATAAAAGCTGAAGTTAATACTGATTATTCAGGTTTATTAATGTTGTAGATACTGCCGTTTGATGGTAAGAAGTGACTTAAATATGAAAGAGAAATTAGTTTCTTACAGCTTCAACACAGACAGCTTTGAGCTGTGCTCCATTAAAATCATCGGTACATCTGGCCAACTCCTCGTAATTCACTTCCTTACTAACGTTCATTTTTCTGGAGTGAATCTGTAAGATTCTTGCCCGAGCCTCTTCGTTAGGGTTGGGGAATTCAATCTTTCTGTCCAATCTACCAGATCTTAGTAAAGCTGGATCCAATATATCTACTCTATTTGTTGCTGCAATAACCTATGTAAGAACAATTACAGATAAAAATATACAATAAAAGAAAGATTTTCAATATTCCTTACTGCAAAGATACAAAACTTAAAGGCCTTTATAGTAACCATAACAAATTTAACTGATCAAATGGGGAGTAAAATATATCTGCCAGAATTTTCAACTTGTCATATGTAATGAGAATAATGATAGATTATAACACTTTTAAAGTTTCTAGGAAATCCCTACAGTCTTGTAAAAGATGTAAATTTAAATGTTTCAATTCAAATGTTTAATTCAATTTTTAAACATACATGTACAAGTTTAGAGTCTTGCTGGACAACTCTTGAAATGAAGGTGCAATAGTTATAAACTTTGACATATGATGTGAGAAACTAAGACATTCAACTATTTAAAGTGGATGTTGATTCATTAAGCAATACAGAGAAATTCTCTTAGCCAATAAAGAAGATGCGGTGTAAAAAAAATGTCACTGTAATGACTGTAAATCTGGCTGCAGACAAGTTTGTTTAGAATAGTCTAAAAATTCTTCCATACACTTTGTTAAGTCTAGTTGAAAAAAATAATGTACAAATTGAAATACAGTTTGGTCTGTTTATAATACCTTGATCATTGAACTGGGCTGGAAACCATCCATCTGGTTAAGTAACTCTAACATAGTTCTCTGTACTTCACGGTCCCCGGCTTTCTCACTATCAAATCTCTTTGTACCTGTATCATAAAAGTTAAGTGAAACAAGATCCTAACAAAAATTGTACCAATGAGCCATTTTATAAAAATTGAAATTTCTTGGTCAAAATATTATCATTCTAAGAAATACATTATACATAGAGAATATTGAATGAGTCAAGATTCAATATTAATTTTATTCAATATGTTAGATATTAAATCTACAAGAATATAATATTCTATTCAAATATCTAAAATAAGAACAGTTTTCAGCTACCAATGATGTGCCTATAGTGTAAGCTAACATTAGTGTGCTTTAACGCTATGTTTGCGTATAATGCAAAGGACATCACATCAAAGTGTTAGTAAACTAGCATAACATAGTTGTTATCAAATGGCTTTATTACACTCCTGCATAGTGGCTTATGTGATAAATATATTTATTGAATAAAATTAAAGATATCAATTTATAATACGAAAGTTGACACATCAAAGACACTTCAGCTAAGTACATTTCAACAATTCATAGTTACACTAGAAATGTGTCCATAGGACACGGGTGCCCCCACCGCGCCACTGTTCTGTCAATCTTTTTACTAAGTCAAGGGAAATAACTCTACAAATACTGGATAAATCCACAAGCGAAACCCCAGGTGCAAATCTAAATATGCTGAGCAACCTGCCCATAAGGTTTAATGACTATGTCAAATCCTTTTTCAGTAACTTGAGACACAAGTTGAAAATTGCAAAAATTTTCTAAGTGAAGGGCAATAACTCTAAAAATACTAAATACATCCAGACGAAAATACCTGGTACACAACTGCACATGCTGATCAATATTCTGTAAAGTTACATGACTCTAAGTCAAATACTTTTTGAGTTACATGCGACACAAGTTGAAAATTGCAAAATTTTACTAAGTCAAGGGCAATAACTCTGAAAATACTCCACACGAAAATACCCAGGTGCACAACAACACATGCTGATCAACATTCCTGTAAAGTTTCATGACTCTAGGTCAAATACTTTTTGAGTTACATGCGACACAAGTTGAAAATTGCAAAATTTTACTAAGTCAAGGGCAATAACTCTAAAAATACTAAAAATATCCACACGAAAATACCCAGGTGCACAACTACACATGCTGATCAACATTCCTGTAAAGTTTCATGACTCTAGGTCAAATACTTTTTGAGTTACATGCGACACAAGTTGAAAATTGCAAAATTTTACTAAGTCAAGGGCAATAACTCTAAAAATACTAAAAATATCCACACGAAAATACCCAGGTGCACAACTACACATGCTGATCAACATTCCTGTAAAGTTTCATGACTCTAGGTCAAATACTTTTTGAGTTACATGCGACACAAGTTGAAAATTGCAAAATTTTACTAAGTCAAGGGCAATAACTCTAAAAATACTAAAAATATCCACACGAAAATACCCAGGTGCACAACTACACATGCTGATCAACATTCCTGTAAAGTTTCATGACTCTATGTCAAATACTTTTTTGAGTTACGTGCGACACAAGTTGAAAATTGCAAATTTTTACTAAGTCAAGGGCAATAACTCTAAAAATACTAAATAAATCCACATGAAAATACCCAGGTGCACAACTACACATGCTGATCAACATTCCTGTAAAGTTTCATGACTCTATGTCAAATACTTTTTGAGTTACATGCGACACAAGTTGAAAATTGCAAATTTTTACTAAGTCAAGGGCAATAACTCTAAAAATACTAAATATTATCCACACGAAAATACCCAGGTGCACAACTACACATGCTGATCAACATTCCTGTAAAGTTTCATGACTCTAGGTCAAATACTTTTTGAGTTACATGCGACACAAGTTGAAAATTGCAAATTTTTACTAAGTCAAGGGCAATAACTCTAAAAATACTAAATATATCCACACGAAAATACCCAGGTGCACAACTACACATGCTGATCAACATTCCTGTAAAGTTTCATGACTCTAGGTCAAATACTTTTTGAGTTACATGCGACACAAGTTGAAAATTGCAAAATTTTACTAAGTCAAGGGCAATAACTCTGAAAATACTAAAAATATCCACACGAAAATACCCAGGTGCACAACTACACATGCTGATCAACATTCCTGTAAAGTTTCATGACTCTAGGTCAAATACTTTTTGAGTTACGTGCGACACAAAAGTGAACGGACGGACGGACGGAAGGACGGACGGACGGAAGGACGGACGGACAAGGGTAAATCTAAATGCCCGCCACTAACGTGGGGGCACAAAAATTGTAGAAAACACCAAGTCTTAAAACAAAATCATTACCTATAGCATCTAACTCATCAATGAATATAATAGCTGGAGCCTTCTCTTTGGCCAGTGCAAAAGCATCTCTAACAAGTTTAGCTCCATCTCCTATAAACATCTGAACTAATTGTGGACCTGCAAGCTATAATCAATAATATTATAAATTTGAGGTAAATGATGGACTGAAAGCTAAAACTCCCGACACTTAATACCTAAACTAGAACTCCGCGAGTCGGATGTGTCGCCTTGTGAACAATGTAGTTTAGGGGAAATGGCCAGGACAAAAATGAAATATGAAAAATAACAAAGGGCAATAACTAAAAAAATAATACGTGCAGAGCAGCAGTTTCTGTACACTGCACTTCATATCAATAAGATCTATCATTCTATGATGTTTCAAGTCCATAACTTTTATACTTTCGGAGAAATGACCAGGACAAAAATAAAGTAAGAAAATCAACAAAGGGCAATAACTCAAAAATAAGAAATGCAGAGTATCAGTTCTTATGCACTGCACTTCTTTTTAATGAGATCTATCATCCTATGAAGTTTCAAGTCCATAACTTTTATACTTTCGGAGAAATGGCCTAGACAAAAATTAAGTATGAAAATTAACAAAGGGCCATAACTCAAAAATTAAGAAATGCAGAGTACCAATTCTTGTGCACTGCACTTCTTAATAATGAGATCTATCATCCTATGAAGTTTCAAGTCCATAGCTTTTATACTTAAGGAGAAATGGCTGGATAAAATTGAAGTATGAAAATAAACAAAGGGCAATAACTCAAAAAATAAGAAATGCAGAGTACCAGTTCCTGCGCACTGCACTTCTTCTTAATGAGACCTATCATCCTATGAAGTTTCAAGTCCATGGCTTTTATACATTAGGAGAAATGGCCCGGACAAAAATAAAGTATGAAAATTAACAAAGGGCAATAACTCAAAAACTAGGAAGTGCAGAGTACTGGTTCTTGTGCACTGCATTTCTTCTTAATGAGATCTATCATCCTATGAAGTTTCAAGTCCATAGCTTTTTTAGTTGAAGAGAAATGGCCCGGACAAAATTAAAGTATGAAAATTAACAAAGGGCAATAACTCAAAAAATAAGAACTGCAGAGTACCGGTCCTTGTGCACTGCACTTCGGGTTATTGAAAGAAGCATGCATACCAAGTTTGAAGTCAATCAGACTTATAGTGACTGAGTTATGCTCCGGACAAGCTTTAGGGGACGCCGACAACGACAAAGACGCCTCCGCCGCCGACACCGCCGACAAAAGTAACCCCTATATGTCACCTTTTCAAGGCGACACAAAAACCTACTTGAGGACACCAGTCGAAATTAGAGCCAGTCTGTACCCGAGGCCACTAAATCTATCACCGGACCTGTGATTATTGACAGGTTGGTGGTCCAACGGCTCAGTGTGTGTTTGAGTTTGTTTACCCTCGCCACCGGAAAGAGACCAAATGGGCGAGCACAACGGCTCAGTAGATGTTTTGGCCATAAAATACTATTTTACAGGCCCAAATGTCTGCTGCTTTTTAAAGTTTTTCATAAAGACTGGGAGATGCAGGCTAAAAGATTTGAACAATATAAAAACACGCAAGCAATCATCAATACCCCCGACAATAAACATCTAAATTTAAGTTTTTAAGTTTGACACTTTAACTGTAATGCAAGACACTACATGTCACATCATGGTTAAATAAGGACTTGAAAGCTCAAATGCTTAACAATATAATTTATACATCTGTGAACTTACTGAGGACAACAAACATCATATATTTAAGCGTAAATACACATATATGGCCATAATCTGTACTAATAATAAAAATAGTTTTACACTGTAAACACATTATTAGTAATATGAATAAAGTTTCATATATTAACAATAATGAATTGAGAAATTGTACATTTCAAAACAATACCATACTTTTTTAATAAAAAAATATTAGTCCAAGCCTGTTACAAATTGTATATGAACATTGCAGATTACTGTGGATTTACTTAATTTCATGAACATGAAATTTTGTGGTTTTGTCATCAAGAGCATTGTCATTTGTGGGTACTTAAATTTGTAGACTGTTTATTTTTCAAATAAGCTAAAATGTTAAAATTTTGTGATGCAAAATAATCTTACAGCGGACGAAATGAAATTTTGTTGGATCTTAAATTCATGGATTGACTCACCCACAAAAATAAGTGCCCAACGAATAATTATAATAATATTGCAGTAACATAACTAATTAACAGCACATAGCACTAACTTGTCACACATTGTAAATACAAACCTTTAAGAAAGTGGATTTAGTCTGTGCAGCACAAGCTCTTGCCAATAGTGTTTTTCCAGTTCCTGGTGGGCCGTATAATAGAACACCTTTAGGTGGCTGTATACCAAGAGCTTCAAACCTCTCTTTGTGTGTCATTGGTAAAACTACAGCCTCAATCAGCTATATAGAATAGAAAAACATTTCAATTAACAGTGTTATAATGAGATGATACTGGAAAAACTGATTAAATTACCATCTACTGGGGGCTTGTCCCAAACTAGTATATACATTATTGGTCTTTTTTCACAGGTTGGGTAAGGAGACTATCCTAAATATTTGGAGAAAAAAGGGAAGAAAAACGCGGCATTAATTGAATATTTAGGGGAATACTGCATGATTTTAAAATTTTCCTGTAAGGGAATCCTTTCAAATTGCCCTTGCTATAAAAGGAAATGACAGGCCTGAATTTTATTTTATTTAGTGTTTGTTTTTTTTTTCTCCATAGAAAAATGCCTGGGCAATAATTTAACTCAATAAATTGCCTGTCCAGCATTGGTCATCTTCCATCCATAAAATCAATTGATGACAGTGTGAAGGACCTCACTGTTGTTTAATGTTACTATTTTTAATCCCTTTCCATCAATTCTTTTTCTTTAAGGATATTAAAATGGAACAAGATGTCTGAGTGCATCTTGAAATTAGACTATCATATAGCAAACTTTGCTAGTGAAAATATGGTAGATCAAATACTATAGTATATAACTCTAAAATTAAAAGATTAATACTTGTTGAAGCATAAACAATTCCCACAAAATAGATGCTATGAAAAGTCAAATTATCATTAAAAGTATGGACAAATCTAGGTTGATACAAAAATCAACAAGAGGGCCATGATGGCCCTGAGGTCGCTCACCTGTATATAGCCCCCCCCCCCCCCCCCCCGCCCAACGTTGCAGGGCCAATTTAACCCAAGGGCTTTTATTTGCACAAACTTGGTAGACACCCATAAGAAGATGTTTCATGCTAAACATCTAAGCTCTAGCTCATCGGGCTTTTTAAAAGAAGATTTTTTTAAAGTTTTTACTATACACATATAGTTAAAAACAATGACACCCCTGGGGCCGGGCCAATTTTGACCCCAGGTCTTTTATTTGAACAAACTTTGTAGACACTCACTAAAAGATGTTTCATGCTTAATATCTTAACTCTAGCTATTTGGGTTTTTTCAAAGAAGATTTTTTAAGTTTTTGCTATACACATATAAGGAAAATCAATGACCCCCAGGGGCGGTGCCAATTTTGACCCCAGGGCTTTTATTTGCACAAACTTGGTAGACACCTATTAGAACATGTTTGATGCTAAATATCTTAGCCATAGCTCTTTGAGTTCTTTAAAAGAAGATTTTTTAAGTTTTTACTATATGCATATAGGGAAAATCAATGACCCCCGGGACGGGGCCAATTTTGACCCCAGGGCTTTTATTTGAACACACTTGGTAGACACTTATTAGAACATGTTTCATGCTAAATATCTTAGCTCTAACTCTTTTGGTTCTTTAAAAGAAGATTTTTTAAGTTTTTACTATATGCATATAGGGAAAATCAATGACCCCCTGGGGCGTGGCCAATTTTGACCCCAGGGCTTTTATTTGAACAAACTTGGTAGACACCTATTAGAACATGTTTGATGCTCAATATCTTAGCCATAGCTCTTTGAGTTCTTTAAACGAAGATTTTTTAAGTTTTTACTATATGCATATAGGGAAAATCAATGACCCCCTGGGGCGGGGCCAATTTTGACCCCAGGGCTTTTATTTGAACAAACTTGGTAGACACTTATTAGAACATGTTTCATGCTAAATATCTTAGCTCTAACTCTTTTGGTTCTTTAAAAGAAGGTTTTTTAAGTTTTTACTATATGCATATAGGGCAAATCAATGACCCACTGGGGCGTGGCCAATTTTGACCCCAGGGCTTTTATTTGAACAAACTTGGTAGACACCTATTAGAACATGTTTGATGCTCAATATCTTAGCCATAGCTCTTTGAGTTCTTTAAAAGAAGATTTTTTAAGTTTTTACTATATGCATATAAGGAAAATCAATGACCCCCCGGGGCGGGGCCAATTTTGACCCCAGGGCTTTTATTTGAACAAACTTGGTAGACACCCATTAGAACATGTTTCATGCTAAATATCTTAGCTCTAGCTCTTTGGGTTCTTTAAAAGAAGATTTTTTAAGTTTTTACTATATGCATATAAGTAAAATCAATGACCCCCCGGGGCGGGGCCAATTTTGACCCCAGGGCTTTTATTTGAACAAACTTGGTAGACACTCACTAGAAGATGTTTGATGCTCAATATCTTAGCCATAGCTCTTTGAGTTCTTTAAAAGAAGATTTTTTAAGTTTTTACTATATGCATATAAGGAAAATCAATGACCCCCCGGGGCGGGGCCAATTTTGACCCCAGGGCTTTTATTTGAACAAACTTGGTAGACACCCATTAGAACATGTTTCATGCTAAATATCTTAGCTCTAGCTCTTTGGGTTCTTTAAAAGAAGATTTTTTAAGTTTTTACTATATGCATATAAGTAAAATCAATGACCCCCCGGGGCGGGGCCAATTTTGACCCCAGGGCTTTTATTTGAACAAACTTGGTAGACACTCACTAGAAGATGTTTCATACCAAATATCTAAGCTCTAGCTCTTATGGTTTTTTAAAAGAAGATATTTAATGTTTTTTCTTTCAGTTGCCATGGCAACCAGAGTTCTGCATGGAATTAAATTCTTTGAACAATTTTTAAAGGTGACCACCAAAGGAACATTCCTGTGAAGTTTGGATGAAATTGGCTTATTGGTTTATGAGGAGATGTCATTTAAAGTAAAAGTTTACGGACGGACGGACGAAAAGTGATCACAAAAGCTCACCCTGTCACTTTGTGACAGGTGAGCTAATAAAATAATAAAGATATTCAGTTTGCTGACTAGAATGAATGACAAGAAATTACCTCCTGAATTTGTTTATCGAGACCACCAATGTCACTGTACTGTTCAGTTGGTCGTTCATCTACCTCCATAGCCTTCACACGAGAATCATATTCTGCTGGTAATGTCTCCAGTATCAGGTACGAGTCTTTATTTACACCCTAAACACACATCAAATACTTCAAATTATTAATATTTTTAACAAAACAATACTTTTATGAAGTTTAACAAACTTCTGGATAAGTTAAGAGTTTGCAAAGAGTAAATCAAGTTCATAGATATTTAATTTTCTATACATTTCTGTAATTTCAGACATAACTGGTAATATCAACAACAATAAAAATATTAAAATTTAATAAAAAAAAAGTTTAGAACTCAAAATCTGTAATTCCATATTACAATTATTTTATCTTTAGCTTTTAAACGTTCTACTGAGTTTTGAAAAAAACCCTGCTTTCTGGTTGCCTGATAGAATTAAGTACACTGTCCTGATAGGGAGACCAGCTTAAAAAAGCATGTTTAATGTAAATCTCAGGAGAAAAGGGTAACAGTACATATATAATGCAATTCTATCTAAAGTCAGACTAACAGATTAAATTGTCTTGATGTAAAAGTTGCAATCGTAGAAATATATACATACAAGTTCGGTAGTAATAAAATACCTACCACAAGATCACCAGGTGTCAGCTTTTCAGCATCTACTAGTCCAATGACAGGTAAGAAGTAAGTCTGAAATATATGACTGAGTGTAAAGCTAAAAAAAATTAACCTGTTTGAAATCTTTTATAGAAAATTATAGCTGTCAAAGAAAAAGATCAGATTCCAAAGATCCAAAGATATGTCATCAATATAGTAAAGAAGAATATTGATGAATTTGTGTCAAATTTACATCGAAGTCAAGAGAGATTGTCCTAGTTTTTAATGTGCATTTATCTGCAATTTTAACTCTAACTGTAAATAAACTAAGTTGTATAACAGGTTAAATGGTTTGTTCCATCATTTTTCCATGGGTGTATTCCAAGATACATAATGTACCATGAGCTATGTATCACTATATACCTTATGAAGTTATGTCATGATATAAATGTCCTTATCACAGTATATAAACATTGTATCAAAATATAAATGCCTTTTATTATTACTTGAACAAACTTTCACACCCTTTAAAATGGGTATAAGAGGAGAGTGTTGTTTAGATTTATGATAAAGGGAGATATTATACCTGTCTGGTAGAAGTTTTAATGACAGCACATTTGCCTTTCCTCTGAGCATCCAGATCTATATTAGCCCCATCTTCCTCTCCCTGGTCTTGAGGATCCATATCTAGCAACTAAAATACAGAATAATGGTATGGTATGGATTTAGACTTTAAACATGAAACATCTTATCATAGTTTTGATGTATTAAAAATTCAATCTTTGTTTATATTCAGGTCCTGATGTCAATGTTAGTAATAGTTTTTTAATAATTTAAATTATCAGGTAATTTTTTCAAGATTAATTTTATCATGCAATTTATATAGTATTCACTATTAGGTTGTAATATCTTTATCTTTATTTTATTCACCGAATCTATTAAATCTAATTAAGATTCAGCCCATACAGAAATTGTTTTAAATTCACAGTGTAGGAAGCTATTAGCATACATACACTCTCGCAAATCTGTTCCTGGAACCAACCAGTACTAAGAATGAGTGTAAAGTCAGTCAGGAATTAAAATACTAGTCTAATGTATAAACTACTTTGCCATACCAACACTACATATAATTTTGAGAAACATTAAAATACCTACCTCAATCACATTTGATACCAAGTACGGTAGTGTTTTATTCACTTTAATCTTCTCTGTGTTTTCCTTGATTTTCTCTTTCTGTGCTTGTAGTTCATGTGAAATTCTCATGATTTCAGACTTCATTATCTACAGTATAAAAATAGTTATTTGGAACAGATTATTTTTTCAAGAATTTAGTCAACTAAAAACAGTCTAGAACTGTCTTCAGAATTTCAGTAAAAATCAACTAGAAGAGGCAATTTCATTATATTAATTTTGTTTTTATATATTTCTTTCACTTTCTTTTTCATTGTAGCAAATATTTAGAAATACCTATTTACTAAATAATTTTGTTTTTGAATTAGATAACTTTTATGAATTACTTTCATCAAATGATAATTTTGTAATTAAGAAAATCTCTGCTTATATTTACCACCTCATGATCTCTATAGCGTAATATATAATTCAATGTAATAAGAATTTATCATGACTTATGACACAACCTTAAAATGTTAAATATTACTTTTTTTGTGATGTGTATTTTGGGCTGATTGCCTTTATAAATTTTACTCAATAAATCTATTGAATTGACTTTCAATTTTGCTTTCATGCTAAATGTGAGCTATAGAAAGACAACTACCACATATATATGATATACCTTTATTTCATTATCTAGGAGTCGTGTTCTGCTAACTATTTCATCATTTGACATTCGTAGCACTTCTTCACCCAAAGACTCCTATAAATAGAACAAATAACCAAATGTAAAAAGGAACGTAATTATGTCACTGTGTGATTAAACAGTTACCACTTGGGCTTAAAAAAATATGAAAAATTATCCGTTTAACGGCGTTATTAATATGTAGTGATATGTCTAAATCACAATGCAGAACATCACTGAACAAACCAGAACAAATTTAAAATTTTCATAAAACTTCTAAAAATAATTTAAACTCTTTTAATTACTTATGTTGACACAATTAATGACCTAGAAAACTTGTGAAACTATGTTGACACAATTAATGACCTAGAAAACTTGTGAAACTAAGTGTTTTGAGCCTATAATATGCTGCTGAAATTGATTAGCATGGAATAGAACAGATTCATGACTGATTTTATCAATAATATGAATTTTGTTGCTGTGGTTGAAACAAAAAACACCATGGATTGGACATGTATGGGGATTTTACTCAAATTTACTTGACTGCGAAAGCTGCTGTAAGTGGCTTAACAGGGAGATGGAGACTCATTAGGCATAGACATCATAGGTACTGTAGTATATCACTGTTTCAAACTGTATTCAACAGTGATAAGTATCCATGGGCCTATTAAAATCTAGATTATCAGGTTTTTTTTCCAGAATTTTGGTAACATGATATTGGGAAATTCAGCGATGTTTTGTTAAAAATTAATTATTTTCAAAGATTTTAGAAATTGTCGTTTAATATTTCTTTTTGTAACTTTCAATTTGGAATTTTTCCTGTGGATACTATTTTCAATTGGCAATATGACCGAATATCGGCTATAAATTAAGCCAAAAAATCCTTGAGACACTTACAAACTTTCGCTATATGTATATGCAGCATTTCAATAGAGTGGAAGTCAGTGGGCGAGCATGCGCTTTGCCATATCTCGTTCAGTTACTGTTCACGTTCTAAACTTGGTTGCTATGAATTGACACTAATATGGCTTTTACAACTAAAATATCGGCCAAACACATTAAAACAATGCACATGAACTACAATAGTTGTTTTCCATATTAATATTTTGCATTTTGAACTGATAGACAAACAAATATCTCAATATTCTTCGTGGTTTAATGTATTGTTTACATGTGATGTGTGTTAGATTACTTCCGGTCTAGAAAATTCCCTTGTTTACCATCAAAACTCATATGTTTACCATAGCAACCATATATAGATAGAAAGCAAATTATACAAGAGTAATGAAAAAATTCTCCGTTTCTAGAAAAAAATCGAATAAATAAATACAAAATATTTTAAAAAGATCCCTTCTTTGAGTTCATTTAAAAGGGGCATAATTTGGTGGGATTTTAGACAAAGAAACAGGTGTTATCATTTGTGGCTAGGGAATATGGCTGACTGAAATCATGCAAGCAAGTTTGTAAGTGAGAGATTGCCGATAGCTTCACCAGGATACTACAAAAACGGACTGAGTCTGCTATATATATTCGGGGCCTCCGTGGCCAAGTGGTTAAGGTCGCTGACTTGAGATCACAGGTCCCTCACCGCTGTAGGTTCGATCCTCACTGTGGTCGAAATCTTTCATGTGAGGAAGCCATCCAGCTGGCTTATGGAAGGTCGGTGGTTCTACCCAGGTGCCCGCTCGTGCCTGAAATAATGCCCGGAGGGGCACCTGAGGTCTTCCTCCACCAATAAAGCTGGAAAAAAATCGACGAAAAAATCTCGGCAGGACGCTCTAGGATGGCCCGACTAGAGTGTACGGTCACCCATGTGGGCTTTCCAGCGGCGATTAAAAAAAATAAAAATATATATATTCCCGGTTTAGACCCCGACGTCTTATCTATGATATCGCCGAATTTTCATAAAGGGACAGTCCGACTAAATGTTGGGAAAATACATGTCAAAATTTGCAAAACAAATACCCCACCCACTTTTTTGAATGGATGATTCAGCATAAGACATGGACTAAATTTACCAAATTTGGAGGATAACTAAACGCTTACATAGAATTTTATACTTAGAATTCAACTATAAATTAAACTGAAATAAAATTCAAACCTCTCCATCATCCCAAATCGCTTTGTCTTCAAGCGTCGGCATTTTCGCTTTTTCTCGTCACCGTAAAATCTACTAAACTGTCACATTTACTAAATCATTTAAATGCCGGTAATCGGTATCCCGTATATTTTTTATCCGGACTATAACCGGATTATTAAAGAAGAATTTACAGTATTGATTTTTATAATTCAAATGTGGACTATATTACCGACCACAGTGTTTTAATATATATATTCAAGAACACTTCAAGCTTGGAATTTTCTTTCATCGCTCTGTACGATCAATAAACACGGACTAGCTTATTTCCCAGCCGATCCATGCTGGCCATATATCCTTTTGATTTAAATAGTTAAGTGTTGTCTTTTTTGCTTTTCCAGTTAAAAGAACAGTCAGAAATTTAATAAAAATTTCATAGTATACATGTATTTACTATGTAACTTGGGTCATTTTAAGTACCAGATGTAACCATGGCTTTAATTACGGCTTTAATTACATTTTGATATTATTTTGAACCAGAACTGGCTGCACACAAGCGTTTAGCACTGAGGGGTTGACTTATGTAACATACTCTGAAAAATTAGAAATTGCGCGATATCCGACTTACTATGCAATATTTTATTTAAAAACTTATGTCCGTAAATATTATTATATATAATAAGTTTATAAAGCGAAATGACAAAAAAATATATAACTACACACAAAACAGAAACTACATTTGCTGTCATAATTATAAACTAGCTCACTTGCGTGCATTTATGTGAATAGAATACCTCTGGTACAATTAGACACACTTATGACCACTGGATAACGTGCATTCATAGAATTGTCACTTAAATTTACTTAACTCGCTTCAGATATTTTTCCTAAAATTGTTACAATTAATGTATATGTTTTGCAATAATACAAAGTATATTTAAAGCTCAAACAAGATCGCCGTACGAGCCCAGTACTATTCAACTTGTATAATCGCATTTAAAGGAACTCGATTTCGGTACAGGCTTGGGGGGGGGTGGGGGGTACATCCATGTGAAAAACGATAATCAATATTGAATTTTTAATATGCTACTATCTTAACTATTCAAACTTGTCCTTAAAACGAGGGTTGTCCCAAAAGTTTGCATAAAAAATCCATTATGAAAAACTATAACGCATTATTTGCATCAAAATATCTGGCCACAAAGCAAATTTAAAGACTTTTTAAAAAAAATTATATTTAAAAAAAAACGTAAAAGGCTTCGCAGCACATAGATAATACCAAATGTACCAGTACTGCATTCCTGAGCGACGAAGAATCGTGCTGCGTTTTAACATGAATAAGTAAATGTTACAATGTACATAATTTTTATTATACTCATATTTGTTGTTCTTAATACATGCTATTGTTTTTTGTTGTTTTGTTTTGCTTTCTTTTACAATTATGCTACAATTAATATTTTGATAATGTCATAGTGTTATTATATTTACGTACGTTATGACCGTGACATCTAAATAAAAGCATGTCGCCAAGAAATTAAACTTACATTGCGGAAGAGTCCACTTTACGTCATTTGCTCTATTGACGTCATATCTTACGTAAGATATCTTACGTATCAACATTCCGTTACAGGTCAAGGGTAATTCACTCCATGAACTAGCACACACTAACTGTACGTTAATGCACGAACTTGAATTGTTAGTTATTTTATTGTTTTTCATGAGCTGTATCGTTTTTTCGGCACTGATTTGTTAAATACAACCTCGCTTCGACAGCGAATCGTAGAGCTCTAAATGTATAAACGGTTTTAACAAACATATTTAATTTTGTTTACACTAACTAACAATTCAAGTAAGGTTAAATTGTTGAAAATAGATTTTGTTCTATAAACTAAAAATCTATTTTCAACCACTTATCCTATAAAAAAGAAGTATGTTAGAATTTGACCTTGAACAAAGCGGATTCAGGCACTTTTCTAATTCTGAAATTCCGAAACGCTATCATATTTAAAAATGTTTTATGAAATAATTATAAGTAACATAATGGCAATGGCATCAATTTAACAAACTATTCAATATGTTAATGAGTTGACTAAGGACGTATTTCAAAGTTGTTTAGAAAATCAAATTATGATTTTCCAAAACTGTAAAGTTTCAATGCTTTTGTAGATGAAATTTGTTATTGATATGCAGTTTAAGATATTTATGTGTGTGCTTTTTTTTTTTAAAAAATGTAACCAATAAGCAATTTGTTAAAAAGTATTTGGAAGTTTATCAGTTGTGCATTTGTATTGATATCATTTTACTATTAGAGCACAGTAGTAAAATACACCCAAATTGAACATTAGAATCAGTATTGTTTATGATTGGTCGAATATCTAATGTTCTATTTAGATCTAATGCAATAAGGCTGTTTAAATAGAATGCCATATACATAAACAATAGACGCTTGTTTACTGGCAAAAAAGTCAACCTCGGCAATAACTTTGTAAAGGAATCCGTGATAAAATTTTGACATATATCATATTGACTATCTGAATGACATGAAGTTTGCAAATTTTGAGAGTTATTGCGGCTTTTTAACATTGTCATTAATGTTTTGCTTATAAATCACGTTGTGTCCTTTTGATTTTATTAAAGCACTTTACTTTGACATGTATACTTTTACGTTTATTTGTTGATTAGTAAGTAATTCAGAAGAAGGATGTTCCAATTTGACAACGTTTAACGGATAAAAATAATATACAAAACAAATGTTTTTTTACTTACGATTTTCACATTAAAAACGTATAAAAAAATACATAAAAACTGAACTTTGTAACGGAATTGTAACAAATGATCAACATAGAAAAGCTCTTTTAAGAGTTAAAGGCCCATTATGCCTCAGAAATGCTTTTCTTTTTTCTTGTCAAAAGCTTTTGTATTTTTGGTATAAAGTTTCCAAAAAAGTTTCTTATAGCAAATTACCACAACCAGTTCGTTCACACACATGCTGCTGTTTTGCAGGCAGAATCTAGCGATTTGGTATTTTGAATGGAAGTCAAAATACTACTTTGTTTAGAATTTGCCACTTTTATGACACATTGTTTTACATTTATAGCTAACAAGCATCTTACTTGCTCTTAAATCATTATTTAAATGTTATAAAACTCATGTTTGCCCTTTTAGAAAATAAAATATGTATTCGTTTTGTGAGGCATAATGTGCCTTTAATGTTTGGTACACAGGTTGGGTATACAAAAACTTTAGAAATATAAACAATAAATTTTTTGAACACAATGAAATGTGAAAGTTATTAAAAATGAGTATCATCTTTGTTTTCACGCAAATCTAAGATCTTTACTTGCACAATGTTCCAAAATAGTAATATACAAGGCCAACTATAGACATGTAAGTTAAAAGATATGAAATCTGCACAAAAATGTACTAATAAGATCAGCTAAATGCACATGACTTTTTTTTAAAGGGGATACGATAAGCAACACATCGAGTTCATACCATGGTACATGTTATTTTAAACTACAATTGAATCACGTTAAATTGTTACCATACCTTAAATATTAGCAATTATTATTTTATAGCATGTTTTGTAGACAAATATTAATATTAAAAGAGGAACCACCATCAATGTGGTTATTTGGCGATAGACACAGAATTCGTGTCAATCTTTTTTTGACTTGAATTAGTAACACTATGAAAAGTGAAATTTGATTATGTCCAGGGAGAGCCTTTATTAAAAAAACAGCAATCATATTTGTATTTAACCTTTTATTTACACATAATTAAAACATATATACATGAAATGCAATTTATAAATAAAGCGTAAATAATCAAGCACTTAGTCAAAATAATGCTACACAACACTGTCAAATATTTGAAAACACTAGTTAAACAATTACACTTTTAATGCTGCTCACAGATATTTTTTTCTATCTGTATTTGGACGTTTGCAACGATTTCTTGATTCGAATATAAAAGTTATTACAGTTCTGTTGGTGGTATGTTGTAATAGGAATTTCCAAGTCCTGGCGGTGGGTACATTTCATTTCCGGTGTAACATGGCATTGAACTAATCATGTTATATCTAGAGAGCGACGAGTCCATGTATGTTGGTGTTGGATATGCAGTCTTCATGGGGTCACTGTACGGGTCACTATGACTTAAACTACTAGTAAAACTACCTGGCATGTGTGACACTACATTGTGTAAAGATCCATATCCGGCTTGAATAGAACTACCCATAGATCCTGGTGCACTTCCGGTAATTTGTCCAGGTAATCTATGCTGTCCTAATTGTGGCATGCTATGACTGTCAATTTGAGAAGCCGGGTCGGAGTAAAAGCTAGGATGTGGATGGGAACCAGGACCACTTCTGTTGGTCTGATCAATCATTGGTTGAACAATACGCCTTCTAGCATTTATAAACCAGTTATTAACTTGAAGAATTGTAAGCCCAGTTTCTGCACCGAGTTGTTTCTTTTGTTCTTCAGACGGGTATGGATGCTGAAGATGTTGAAATAACCAAGCACGAAGTATATTTGTGGCAGTTTTAGAAAATATGCCACGTTTTTTCTGACGTTTAGTTCCCTTACCAGTGGGTTTAGATGCACCTTCACCATCCTCCAGCGGGCTCTCCTCAGACCCTCGACTACTCTCATCATTATCTGGTTCCCTTTCTCTTTTAATACCTTTGGATTTTGGTGCCTTTGGTTCCTTTTTTACCGGTCCTGCAGCCGGCGCCTTGCTGGGTGCTGGTGCCTCATTCGAATGAAGAGAAGCTGCGTCATCAAGTTCCGTCAGCTGTATGGAGCCAGTGGATGAGGGTCTGTGGTCTGAGCCGCTGTCGGTGTCATCTGTAGGATCAAAATTACTATTTGAAAGTTTAGATGTATCATCATCATCTCCTTGAGAATCGACATTAAGATCATTTGGCATTTTGCCTTTTAAACAAGTGATATATCGTTCACAAAAGTTATCACAGAGTTCATGAACTTTTTCCAATTCTAGTAAATGAAATCTAAAGTTTTGAATAGCTTGCACCATTATATTGTCTATTTCTTGATTATGTGTGAATATTGAACCTTCATTTCTTTCAGAAAACTGTTTACTAAACATAAGGAGATCTTCATTAAACGATTCTGATGAACATATAGGATCACCAGCAACTTTACGTGCACAAGTAGCAAGTTCACATTTTTCGAAAATTATTGCTAACAGAGGAAACAAAGGATGTCCGTATAATGCTTCTTTGTCACGTGACGGATCGTTTAATTGAGTTGTCATACCTGACATAGATGGCGCTCCACTCATCAGAGGATACTGTGACATAGATGATGAAGTTGAAAGCGTCTGCGAGTATCCACTCGTCATCGGAAGTGAACTAGCATTTGTCATGGCTACAAGGTGTGAGGCAAACATCGAGTCAATATCTTCTTGTGGCAATCCGAGTGTAGTAATGTTAGGAGGAGGGTGCCCCATTGATGACATCAGTGATCCGCTGTCGTATGTCGGAGGTTGGAGAACGTCATCGAATCTATCAGCCATTGTATCTATAAATAGACAATTTGGAACAATGTATAAATATATTATTAAATTTTTTTATATATAAACGTATGCATTAGTATAAACTGTGGCATATACACGATAAAGGTGATATGTTTCTTTTAAATCTTAACATCTTAATTTTCTTATATGAACTTGTCTTTCTTTCAATCTGGACAAAGCCATTCATCATTTTAGGGATAATTTAAAAATATGTACCGACTAAATAGCTAACAGTGCAGACCAGAATAAGACGGTTGATCTTCGTCTGCTGGTAGAATGATTTTGCCAGCAGACTATAAGTTAATGTAAATCAAAGAAAACAGTAACGGAATGTTTTCATGTTTATTAACATAAATAAAAAAATATTTCTATACTTGTTATATAAAAACTGAATCAAAGATAATTATAACAAAAAATATATCTTTGTAAATGAAACAAACAACAATATATTTCCATGTAAAAGAAAAGCAAAGAAAACAGTAACTGAATGGCCACGTGTATGCTAACATAAATAAAAATATTTCTATGCGTGTTGTACAAAATGAATTAAGTATAATTATAACAAAAAATACATGTTTTTAGTGAAACAAACAACACTATCTTTCATTTTAAACAAACCATTTAACGAACAATATAATACACGAATATTTGTGGGAATGACGAAGACACACATTTTCCCGCATACATAAATAATTTGTATTGACCAGGTAGAGGAAATAACATGATCATGTTTTTTATATATAGAAGAAAGTACGAAAATCATTTATTAATTAATGTAGATATACCTATTTTTTTTTTAAAAATCATTACCGAATATGATACAAAAAACGTGAACTTCCATGAAAAAAAGAAGCGTTTCAAGATTTGGCCTTTATTTCTCTCAATTGTATTTAGAAATAACTTTACCAGGACGGTCATATTAAAGCAAAGACATTAAGTATGGTAAAATGTACGTAAATGACAGAATAGGTAGTAAAAAACCAACAAAATTATTAGAGCGTTTGACATCATATATACTCGCCTGTTAATGAGTATAATGTTAAAATCCAACACAAGTACGTTTATGTGTTTTAATATTAGGAATATATTTATAAAGTAATAAAACTTTTCATTACGTATTGTCAAGGAAACCACATTTTAATGAAATGTTAAAGTACCTTTAATTGTAAAAACTAGATATTATTCGGGATTAAGCGACAATTTTAACTCTCCTTTATTTTTACAACTTCCGCGTTTGTATAAATGTGGTCAAATTTTATTGTATTTAGTTTCTATAGTGACGGGTTGCTCTGACTCCCAAACTAACTTCACTAATTGCCTCTAGATATAAAACTATTTAATGAAATAATTTAAACAACGGACAACAATTTAACAAGGTTTCATCTAGAATAAAATTGTTCGCCATTTTCTTTGTAACTCAACATGTTGGTTTATTTTAAACTTAAGATATAGTTTATGAATAAATTGTTTTGTTAAAGTGTACATTATATTAATAAATCATAAAACTGGCTTTTGTTTTTAGTTTTTTTTTGTTGTTTCGTTTGTTTTTGCTTCATTTCTTACAATGTATGTAACTACATACGATATAATAAATAGAATTAAATAATGTACATGAAGGCAATATTTACCATTTGAATCTAAATCAAACATAATCCAGCTATAACGTTTCTCGCAATTATAAGTTAATTTCCATATGTATGAACGTAAGTTATTTGCAAGTAAGTTTATTCCACGACACAACAAAATATATAAATAGACAAGTGTCCATTTACTATACTATATACATGTAGTTTTGTTTACCTACCAGTTATGAGTATATTCCAGATTTCGTGTTGTATCACTATATTTGTCAGCAGCTGTCGAGTTTTGACAGTGGAATGACGGTTTAAAACACCTCAACCCCTTATATAACAAGTTCTTTAACTCGTCCGCTATGTATATCCCTATCTTTTTTTACATCGGTCACGGTTCCTTTCAGCGGCGCCAATTTCTTATCTGTATCATATAATTTAATAAATTATATTTAGTGTCCGGCCATTGAAAAATAAGATCAAATCCTGATGAAAATCAGTTTAAATTTGATGATATCTTTGAATCATCAGTGAAAATCGTTTAAATTAGTTGACTCTACGTCTTATCTAATCACTCGCGTCGATGACCTCAAGCCCTTAGGGTCCAGAAGAAAATTTTATTGCAGCTATAGTTAAGGGCCTTGAAGCCTGGTAGGGTCAGTTAGACCGATGACATTTATAAATGAGGTACCCTCAGGGTCTCAAACAAACATTTACTTATCTCATCTAACGTAATAATGCGATATGAATCTGTCATAACTCGTGCCATTGTTCCATTTACCCGTGCCATTGTTTAAATTGAAATTAAGGTGTAGATAGGAGGTTAAGTCATTTAATGTGATAAAAAAATTTAATGACCAAATCATTGTATTTTTTATCACCTCAAAACATATGTAAATGTTTAAACTTTAAAAAATATATTTCTTATTGACAGTGACTAAATAAATGAGGTCAACATATAACTAAGTTTACTGAATAATCAGTGTTATACTTTAATATCTTTAAATTAAATTGTAATGTAAACAATGTATTTTAAATGTTATGAAATCTCAACCTTAATACATTTTTAAAGTCTCAGTTTTGATTAAATGTTACAGAAAAAGTAAATAATTTAATAACTTTAAAATGTTACAATAATCATATATACCAAATATCTATAAATTATGAGAAAAATTCATGTATATATTGTCTCCATTTGTTTTTAAATATTTTATGTATTTTAAAATTTCTTATATTCTGATATATATGTACTCGTAAGACTTATATTAATTTGTTACATTATTTCTTCTTGAAATTCATTGATATGTCAAAGAAAATATTGAAATATATTTTGATAATTTTAGTAATTTCATGTATAATAAAAATGATATCATGATGAAATTTTACTTAAAATTCACTCGTTTTGCATTTTACTCCCGATGTTGCCTTTATTAGACTTTTTTTAAAATTGCTATCCACAAAACGCACATGTTTTTCAAGCTTTTTTTGGCATGCATATACGTAATATGTCGTTTACGATTCATTCATTGATTCAATGGAAAAACTGCCATTTTCTCTAAAAAATACTGTTATATACATCTTGACCTATTACACTGTATGAATTATTTTTCATGTTCAAGTTTTCAATGACCACTATCTTTACTTTATTATGTATGTAAGACATTCAGGAGTGTGCAATTTATTGCAACTTAATGATTATAAAAAATCCTTAAAGCTGTATTTCAAGAAAATCAAACTTTAGAAAAATGTACTAAAATTTTAAGAAAAGTAAAAACCTTCCATATTCTAGTAATAATTTACATGCTTAGTGCAATTAATGACTGATTTTTCAGAGTTTATAACCATATTCTACTGCGTGACTACCGCAGTAAGGGGTATTTTTATATATTTTGACCTCTCCCTTTTTGGTGACTTACGTGGATTGTATGTGCTATTTGTAATATGTAAATTACCTTCTTCTTTCACTTCATAAATACATTTTCAAAATTTTCACGAAAATTAAGCATGAATCTGGAGGCATGCTGCTTTAAAACTGTACCATAACATTGGTTTATACAGAATTTATTTTAGTTCGATTATGTAGGAAGCTATAAGCTTATAGACACACTTTCGAATCCGTTCCTGGAACCAACCAGTATTGAGCAATAAGTGTAAAGTTTCTTGCTCAAGGAAACAACGACTTGCCCCTGACGGGGTTTGAACCCATGCGGCTAGCGATCAATAGATTACTAGTCCAAAGCGTTAACCACTCGGCCATGCCGCCACTACCATAACATTAGTTTTATAATTGGAAGAAAAAGTGTCCGTAGTACTTAACGTACAAGAATCAGTTGTGAAATCAGACTAACACCTGTCTTTAACAAAATTAGAAGGTTTGTAGCAATGATTTCGTATACATGTATTCAATAATCACAATATCTTTTTCATTTATGTACGTTTTTAACAAAATATAGCGATTAAAGACCACCTCATATAGCTTTCCACTTATGAAATATATATGTTAAATGAATTTTGAAAACTATAATGACATTGGGGGTGTAAAAACAATGTCATGTTGAACTACGTTGACAATTCGCAAACAAGATAGCAAGTTTTACGCTGATTATGTATGTCACAGTTGTCAGAACGACGCTATATTACCTCATGATAACTTGTGTATTCATGTCCTGATATGATATGTACATACATGTTAACCTCTGCTAAGCAACAGCCTTTTGGATAGAAGATTATATGGTTTTTATTGAGAGGTGTTGCTCTGAAAAGGTGACGTCATACTTTGGAGTAGCTCTGCAGATGCCACATGACATAAGCTGTATTTCATGAAATATAAATTTTCCTCTGGAGATTTATTATTCGACCAATTAATAATAACACCTTAAAATGGGATTTAAAGGCCAAGAAACTTCAATGTTTACCGTTAATTACTGTTTCTGTTCCTAGGAGTTTGGTAAACACAACAAAAACAACAAACAAACAAACAATGAAATCAGATAAATATATGCACTTATCATTTCTGATCGGTCACTTAAAGAATGAAATGATTTTCCTAAATTTTATTCCTATAATCGCACATGTATTATAAGTAAAAGTGTCACCTATTTCCGCACTGAACATAAATTGAGCGTGAAAATCATATGCATAAAAATTTAGAAAAAAATGTCTACAAATACAGTTAAGAGTAGATCTATATAGACGTAACCTTTGATGAAGTATTTGCTGTACTGTCGTCATGACTAGCGATCACATTAAAAAATCTAATCAGCGCGCTATGTTAATAAACATACAAGTAATTAGAAACTTATATGTTCGATTTATGTTACACACATTCCCGGTATATATGTTCTACTTAAGTTACAAAAATATATGTTCAACTTAAGTGACATTTTATATACATATGTTCGAATTGTGTAACCAAATAAAAATCACAGCTTGGCAACAGAATCTGAATTAGTGAAACATATCACCTCGTTGAAATTGAGCGCATGCTTTAACCATTACTTTAGTATCTTATCATAAACAATAGTCATAAAGAAAGGCATTTCTTAAATGTACCACGATGCGATGTAAGTCTATATATTTTGTTGACCTGCGGTCGACTTCTAATGAAAAAAAACTTTGTCCACTACATATTCATAAAGGACAATGTAGCGTGACTTATTTTATTTACTTAACAAAATATTATGCGAACTCTTTCTTTATTTCATGATTTACACTTGTCGCCAGACAAGTTTGATGGATGTGTGGTCCATAAATTCAGGTTTGATTACGGGGACGTTACGCAATACGGCGTTTAGACTCCCCGGGCATATCAAAGTATCATTTGTCACTTGTCAGCGGCAACCTTTAGTTAAGAAAAACAACAATAGCTCACATTTTCATTATCAGATGAAACTGTCTGACTCTATTATTTGTTGTTTCAACAAGTTCTTAAATATAAAGAACAAATAAGGATCAATGCAGCAAAAAGTAGAGTAAAGTACATCCCAGACCACCTTATTAATAATCATTCAAATCAAATGTAAAACATCACATTACTTATTTCCCATGCTTCTTCATAGAGATAAGAATTCGACCGTTAAAGTCTTAGATTTCATTCATACATCATAAGGGGCCTTTTAGCGATATAGCGACGTAATATTCATATGCATGGATGGTCGTTCGTTTGCTTAGAATGTTGACAGAGTCCTTAAGATTTTAATTAAATTTTACAGAATTTATCATATAATAATAAATATAGTTAAACTAATCAAACTAAAATAGCCTATGAGCGAATTCGTTGCAATGAGCATTATTATCGTTTAATCCAAATTGACCATCATAATGTATACATAAAAATGAATAGTTTTACGTAGAATATGTTGATACGTATTAACTGGAACATAGTACATCCCAGGTATTAACATTGTTTCCGTGGGAAACAACATATTGTTTCCTTGGGATACATATAAACATTGTTTCCGTGGGATAAATATATATTGCTTCAGTGGGATTCACATAAACATTGTTTCCGAGGCATACATAAGCTTTTAAGGTTTGTTAAGTACCGCTTGCGTGATTTTGTGCACTTATGGTTAACGAAGACCACGATGAATATGATATCTGACTACAATAAAATTAATATCTATTATCTTCGTTGTTACTAAATTGTTTTAATGATTAACTCTTTTCTGTATGTGCTGTACCTGTTATCTAAACATCCCTTAAACAATAGTTTAATCTGTGAGTACGTGTACAACCAATACAACATGCACAAAATTAAAACTCTGAATGACTTTGATGATGGTTGAAGCTCGCGGCGCAATGAATGGCGAGTGTGTACATTTGTGTGCTTTACATGCTGAGACACAGAAACTCAGAACGAACATTACAATAATCAAAGATGGCACTAGTATTTATTTAGTAATTTCATTTATATTTCCATATAAAACATATGAGTTACCAAGACTGTTAATCCCTTTTTTCATCTCGCACTAACATTCAGTGTACAAATACGGCCTATGGGACCCTATGACTGACTAAAACAATAATGAAATTTTATGTAAAATATTCATGAATAAAAGGTGATTAAAGGTTGGTAGCTTTGGTCTTCTCACTTGACACACTTTTCGTGGATTTAAAAATCTTGTTTATTTTATGTAGCATTTATGTTTACATCCTTCGTGGATATAAAAGTCACTTTTTATTTTCCGTTACATTTATCAGATAGATCTTCTTATTTAAGTTATATAAAACAAACAGATGTTCGTTATCACTTGACAATTTTTTGTTTAATATTTGACTCATTTTAGGAAAAGTGATTTTTTAGTGATTTTTACTCGTATTTAGAGATTGTCATTTTAGTCACAATTAACGAAGTTATTTCAGTACAGAGGTTGCAGTTTCTATAATATACTTTTGAGACCATGATTAAATAGACAGGCATATGAAAGACGAAATGTGGTGTGTACGAGTTGGGCTCAATATTCTATTTAAATGAACACTGAAGTCGGCGGATAATCAGGTCACATGATCGACGTCCGGTATGTGGTCAGATGACGTCTACAGCGTTACATATCTGATTTAGACACTTTATTTAATTAACTTATCAATGGTGATGTACATATTGTACGGCTGAACGTAGGTTATGGAGAAAATAAATTTGATTTCAGATTTCCATTCCGATTCCTTATTTCCATTTTTTTTATCATTTTCATATTGTTTTTGAAATAGTTGATTCCAGTGTTCCTGTCATTTTCTGTTTCTTTCTCAGAATATATCGCGTAAGCTTACCCAAATATTCTAGGCATTTCCGCCGTTATTACTTTTTCTGTATTGGGCCAATATACTGAAGCTACATGTATGTATATATATATATATATATATATTTCGAACTATACTCAGTTTCTCACCGGATGGTACTGGTATTTGTAAACTTTTTACATAAAGGCAGCTCCTTAGGTAACCAACGAAATGTGTTCCGTCAGCATATAGAAACTCTGCTTAATATACTTTTCTGAAGTTTATCTCCATCACCACACCAGGTTTCAGATTGCCTGCCAAGATTTTCCGTTGTTCTTACGCGTCTGGGATAAGTCAACAAATGAACAGCGAGGGAAGCAGACTCGGGGACAAGAAATACAATAAAGATACTTGCCATTATTTTGTAAGATTCAAACAGTTGACGGCCGAGGCTATACACATTATTAAATCACATTCTTGCCAAGACTAGATGACGTCTAAGTTTATATACATTATTAAATAAAATGTACATTATTAACAGACAAAATCAGAACGCTGGAAAACCGACACAACTTATTATTAAAACAAGTTTATGAACGATAAAAACAGATTATCAGATTATTGCAAAGCAAGGTCATACAAATTATAAACAAATGTTCAGAAGTTAAAGTACACAAGTATTAGTTAAAGATCTGTTATAAATTTAGAAAACTCTTTGAAAGTTGAAAAAGAGTTTCTTTTATTTGTACCAGACGTGGTTCCAAGCAAAACTTATAAACTTAGAACTGATTTAACGATAATTGCACTGATGTTAGCATAAACTCGACGACAACGTCACAGTTATATAGAAATTGCATTGTAGCTTTAATTGTCACATCAGCTTACGCTGCAGCAACAAAACAGGTAGAAACAGTTTTGTGATTCCACTGTTACAATTTAACAATGTTATAGTTACAGCCATGACAACGTTGCTACAAAAACTAAAGCAATGTTTTATGTCAAACACATTAGCAATGTCACATGTACATGATGTACAAGAAATGCAACAATGTCACAATTACAAACACTGTAAACATGTCACAGTTATCAGAATGTATGAATGTCATTTGAAGTGAAATGTCACAGTTTAAACACTGTAGAAATGTCACAATTACAAACACTGCAAAATCAATGACAATGCTTTTGTCATACTAATTTGCAATGTTACATGTACAATCAGTAAAACAATGTCGAAATTAACAAACACTTTAGAAATGTCACAATTACAAACACTGCAAAATCAATGACAATGTTGTAATTATTGTTACAAGGAGATACATAATCAGGAAAACCCTGTCTAAAATGTTTGACAAATCCCTCCACTCGGAATTTATGTCATCCTCTTTTTTCTGATCAATAAAATGTTCTTCAATGTTTCTGATGCACTGTGTTTGTTCTTTTAATGCATCTATTGTAGGATCTCGGATAACAAAGTTTGGTAACACGTTATTTCTTTTCATCGTTTGGTTATGCGAGTGAGAATTGTTCGGTGAGTCCGCCATTTTTTCACAGTTTTCGCGCATGCGTGTATCGGTGTCAGTATTGCTTTCATAATGTTCAAACGAAGGATCAAGTTTTGACGAACGTACTTTTAATTCCTGAAATGAAAATATTTGATATAATATATATTAATCTATTTTGGGACCTCTATCTGATACTATTCAAGAACAAAACTCATAATAAATGGGCATGAAATTATTAAATGAATAAAACGTTCACAAGATAAAATTCAAATCACATTAATGTACAAAACAGAATTTTAATTTTCAGGGTCTTTCATATAGAAAGATTGCTAATTAACCGACTTAAGTGTTAAGTGCACCATTGCGTTAGCTTTGACAGGAATTCCTTAGTAAATCGAGACAGCTTAATTCCCAAAACACATCCGATTCCGGACCTTTCTTTTGGAATAACTTCGTTCGAATCATTGAGGTAGAGCACATCATCTCATCATTCTGTCGTAAAATTTTGATGGAAGACAACATGGTCTAACGGTTTTAACATGTTTTCTGAATAACATTTGATGTACTTGATTAATACATGTATAAAGTCTGATTACGAATACTTGAGGGAAAAAAGCAAGAGTCTCCTTGAACCGAATATAAGAACATTGGTTATTCACCAATAAATGTCTAAAATGCCAACATTATCTGGTTCTAGACTAAAACAAACATGCTCACCTCATCATCATTGACAGTCTCTACTTTATTTGATTTTATACACAGAAATCTTGCCAAATATTGATAGCACAACTTTCTAGCCCACCTGTATATAAAGATTAAATTAGGTTTGGATTAATTTGGTTCAACGAATGCATGTACAATAACAACGACAACAAAACAAAACAACACGAATAGTAGGATTTGAACAAAACAGTTCAAGATATCCTAGAATATTTCAGACGTTGAATGATTCAGTATTTGATAACACCAACCTATTGAACTACACAATGTTATCATACAAATCATAAATGAACATTCTGCTTTCATGTTATATCAGGTACTTTGGTGTATAAACCATTTTGTAAGAGGCATACAAATTATAATTTATGATAATAACTTCTAATGACACAACTAAAGCCTTGCCATATATTATAACAAAAGTTGTTGCCATAGTGAATTTATATTGCGCCGAAGGTCTTAGGCCTCTGTTGTCGAGTTGTTGAGGTACCGGACTTTAAATCACTTGCCCCTCAATGTTGCGAACTTTGCACTTTGAATCTCTTTATGTGAGAAAGCTATGCAGCTAGCTTACGGAATGATGATGGTTTTACTCAGAAACATGCCTGTACATGAAATAATGCAAGGAGGGTCACCTGAAGTCTTCTTCCACCAGTAAAACTTAAATAGTCACCATATGAACTTTGAAATGTCAGCGTGACTTACATTTTAATAAAACAGAACAATAAGAGAAAAAGAAGTAATGTATAATTCAATATCAGCTTGTTGTAGAATTGAAAAAGTTATCTTAAATGTTAAAAATATTGACGGTACAGTAAGGTAAGTAAAACACATACGTTGGTACTTTTCGACCATTAGTGCCCCTGTAGAAAACATTTATGACCAACACCGTCTGTAACAACGAAAGTGATACAAGTACCATCGAACTGGCAAAATAAGACCCTGAAACATATAAAATATACATGGATTTATTTGAAGAAAATCATGATCGTTGTAAAATGACTGCACTGTTGGCTATTCAGTCGGAACATATTTTAAAATTTACCCTATAAATGATGAATAGTTTTGAACAGATGGAAAGATAAACATGCCCATTTAAGAGATTTAGCGCCGTATGAATAGCAGCGTTTGTGTATTTGTTCTCGTTATATCTTCATGTTTAATTTTACGTACCTTCATAATAACTTTAAAGTTTATCACGTCACCTCTATTAGACACACACAATGACAGTAATATCCAGACATAATTTCACACAAGTTTGTGTGTTTCATCCTTTTTTAATCAATTTATCCGATTCTTGTTATTTTGATGAATAAAAATAATATTAATTAAAATTTTACCTATAATCGGAAAATTATCTGATGATGGTGGCAAAGATTCTGAGACAAGTAGCAGAAACACAGCGAGGGAAAGAAGCACGGTGATTTCGAGCGACACTTTCTCCCCAGATTCTGTTGGCAGGAGGAACCCCATCGCAGCAACACATGACGTCAATATACAAGGAAATATCATAGTGAGGAGGTAAAACGCCGGGCGTCTCTTCATGACGATATAGAACGTGACGTCAGGATATGGTTCAGGACAACAGTTGTAATATAGCACGTGGCGTTCCACGGGAATAGTCTGCACGGTCCATTCAGCATTATCAATGTAGTTGTCAAGGTCACCTGCAACACCAACTATTATGACAGAAGTTACAACAGTTTCATTTATATTTTATATTTTATAGATAAATGCCGCTTAATCATGCATAAAATATTATTTAAATTTTGAATTCCATTTTTTATAGTCAGCAAAACACCCAAAAAAATTGTCATAGCAAAGAAAACAAAATACAACAATATCATGCATACATATTTACTAGTTACAAGTTACAAGATTTACCCTGGCTAATATACCGATTATAGACTACAGAAACATGCAAGCTACAGTCCATTAATTACTCATGTAATAAATTCTTCAATTTTGCTATTTTTAAAGATTACAATTACATGTAAGTGACCACGCTTTCTGCTGTTTGATAGAAGCAATGCTCCTTTATTTAATTCTTATTATAAGTTGTTAACACTAAAAGACAGTGATCATTTATTTCACTGTTAATTATTAATTATTAGGAGTAACGATTGTTAAGTGCAAGAAGCAGTGATCATTTATAAAACGTTAATTGTTTTAGGGAAGATATCGTTAAAAGCATACGTTAGGGTCATATATACAAAAAGTAGAATGAAAAACTGTGCTATAGAATTTAAAATATGATTACAGAAACATTTTAGGTGAAAATAAAACTTGGGGTCACAGACCTCGATTTCGAGTACTAGTAATCTGCCCTTGAATTTGATTTTTGTTGTTATTTCAGTTTGACTTTTGTTGTTATTTCAGGTCACTTTATGGACCGGTATGCATAAATCTTACAAACCTACATGAATTGAACTACATGAAAAAGCAGGATAAATAGACCATGTGAATTGTCTGCCCTTGAAATAAGTAAAATTTTAGAATTCAAGAACAGATAACTCGGAATCAATGTCTTTTCTGTTTCTATTATCATAATTCTAAGAACATGCAAGTTTTGAATAATTTTTACTATACGTTTTCATTCTACTACATGTATATATGTCTATATGTAAACCCTAGCATATGCCTTTTATTGACTGATTATTGATTATTGTTTTAAGTGATCCTTTATTTTAATATGTTTATTGTTAATTGTTAAATGTTAGGGCAAATTTTCGTTATCTGAATATTAATTGTAAGTATCAGCGGTAGTTTTTATATATTTTTTCATCGGCTTAATAATTTCAAATTTATTTTCTCGTGATTAATGCTTTGATCATGTTTAGTGATTAGTTGTTATATACAAATATTATTCACAGTTCAATGTTATAATCAATTTGTGTTATTTTTTGGAATCGAATATTGGCAGTGCTATATGAAATGAAAGCAGTCCAGTATCAGAACCATTATTAGAGTATCAGATATCCATGTTAATAAAGCCAACACCAACATTTAAACGAAGCGCATACCGTTTGCGTTTCTATTTACAATATCGATTTCATTTCCGTGATGTGACCACGACCCAAATTGTAACGCGCACTCCTGAGTATCGAATGGGAAGTATTTGACATTAACTCGGCATATAGATTTGGCGACGGTGGGGAAGTTGTAAGACACCATCCCAGTGGGGGAGACATATGCTCGGAAACTCTCCACTCCCGGAAACATCACCTCGTCCGCTGCGCTGTAAAATACAAATAAATAACCTATAAAACCAATGAAATATTTGAAATTCAACCTCAGTAGAGCCACGTGTTTTCTAAGCAAAAGTACCGACCAGGATCAATTGATCCTGATATTATTTTCATTGCTTTATGAAACTAAAACTGATTGTATTAGGCTAAAATAAAATGGTACATAACCGAAATGTAAAAATCATTCTGATTTGCAAAGAAACAACCATATTATCTTTGGATAAATTTGAGGAATAAGGATACAAATACAGGGATAATCGGATCAAAATAAACATCAATGTATGGATTACGATAAATATTTGGATCAACTGTCTAAACCCAAAACCAAAAGCCCAAATCTTGCGAAGTATTTTTGTTTCTAAAAATTCATAAGCATGTTATTTCAAGTCCAATTAATTAAGTTAATATTAAAGATTATATCTATGAGAATTAACAATGGATAGCTTTTAAGTTTTTACGTTTGATGCTGATATTGAACCATAGTTAAAACGGGGCCTGGAATACTTTAATGATGTCTGAACCATAAGTACAAGGAAAACGATTGAAAGGGGAGGTAATTGTAATTCCAGCGCCATGGTTATTTAGCTTTAAAATGTGAACACGAATAATCATATTTTAAAATAATATGTATTAGTTTAAATAAACAAAGAATATCAGTTTGCCTTTGGGTAAAATATAGTAAATCTGACTTCTGAACAAGGGTTCAAGTAAGAACCTTAAGTTTATGTAGAAAAGTTAAAGTAGAATGAATAATTCATTCATCTCCAAACTAGATCATATCACCAAGGAAAATATTGTATTTTATTCATTTGCATAATCACATTCAGCAACTACAATCGACTATCACAAAACAAATTGGCCATAGTGAAACCTGGTGAGCAAGGTTGAAGACCTCTAAATCAGTACGCACCTGTCGTAAAGTGTGATATCCGGCAGCCAAACGTCGGGATACGTAAACATTATGCTGCTTATGTTGCTGTAAGAATTTGGGTCCCATTGCAGACGACAGTCGTTCCATTTCTATAGCATAAAATATGTTTGTTTAATTTTTCAATCTTAAAGCGTCCTTCAGCTTTTATAAAGGTTAATTTGTTATGTTTAGATAAATCGTTTCATATAATTGTCAAATCAAAAGAATTAAGGTGCTGACGATAAAATACAATAAATAATAAGGAATTATCTCGATACCTGTAACTACAGGGCCGCTTTCAATATTTAAATTAGTAAATTTTAGAAACGATAAATAAATAATTATAAATAGCTCTCGGCTCGGGACACTGTTTTGAAGAAGGCTAACAGTAAAATGATGCACTTTTCCAAGATAAAATTACTGAATAACTAAAAAGCTTAGTTTGAAACAACACACACTTGTTTTTTCAACAAAAAATAAAAGCTGAAGGCCGCTTTAAGAATAGCTTCCCTGTACAAGGGGGTACATTTTATTGTCCCTATTATTTCAGTTTGAATAGGCAAATAATAGTGTCTATCTTGTTATTTTTGTTATCGAGAAAGGAGTGGTAAAATGCTTTTGAACGATAATATGGATTCAATTAAAAAGAGTGGTTGTTATTTGTTCCCGGATATATAAAGCAACTAATAACCGTATATTTACTACAATACCATGAACACAACAAACAAATCAAAGTTTGTGATCTAATTTAAACAGAAACATAGACGAACTACTGTTATGTTATGTAACAATATTGGTAAGGTTCTATGGCGCAACTTTATATTCATAAAATAACAATATTGAAAAGGTAGCAGTAGAAAGCGTTAAATCAGAAAATGTATCAAATTTCTGTAATGATTGAGCATTTAAAAGGCTTTATTAAAAGGCCTTTTTATGTATTAGAAAAGTTAACGAGTCATTTCGCAAGTAAAATCAAATAGTTGTTCCATTGTGCAATTTAAAAAAATAAATATTTAAGGTATATAAAGACATGTTTATCTTTATCGTTATAAACACTTTAGAATTTGTAGAGTGTATTCCAAATACTTTAAATAGTATACTTGATACCTTAATAACTTTAGTAAATATTATAAAAGAAAATCTACAAATGTAGCGTAGCTTACCAGACGTAACCAAATATTTGTTGTAAGTATTTGCTCCCGTTCATTCTAAAAAATCAATAAAGATCACATAATTCATATACAAGGGTGTCTGTTTATATTTTATCAAGTTTTGACTTATTATTATATGCATGAGTCAATAGTAACCCCGTCTCAATACCGGGGCCATGTCAGAGATAGGGGGACACATAAGTCTAGCATTTACATCCTCCTCGCACATACAGTGTCAAAATATTAGGAAAGATCCATCTTGCAGTGCGAGGTCATTCAACCGTAATTAATCATCGAACTGTGGCTTGGCCTTTATCAATGATTTGATGTTCAAAAAGTCAAGTTTTCGCTATTCCCCCAGATTAAATTTGGAGTTACAATTGACCGGTACATAATAGTTATAAAGTTTTAATATTAAAACAATCACCGTAACCTCAGTTGAAAGTACAGTTGTCTTTAATTATATGTACTTTTGTAACAGTTTTTCGATTAAAACAGCAGGTCAAGGTTTAGGCAGGGTCTTTCCTTTCAAATGCAAGGGTTTACATAGCGCGTTTCCAGACCATTCTATTTGAAAGACCCTGGTTTAGGTAATAAATGATAAAAACTTAAAAAGATCTAATTATTTTGTTCATTTATCAAAGGTTTAATTTATTCATATTTACCAAGTCCATGATCTGTCTAAGTGCCAGGTCCATGTCTAAAGTTACATTATCGCCCGTGGCACAGACAGGTAAGAGGTTCGAGTCATAATCTGTGAGTAGGTAATCATGCAGGGTTTTAGTGATGACCTGCTGGGAAACACACGTCACATTTATTACGTCTGCAAAAAATAGTAATATCATAACATTATGAGTGAACAACAAACTTATAGATGTACATTTTTTTTTATAATCTTATAACGGTAGAATGATGGCGTTTTTCGAAAATGTTATTGGCTATTGTAAATAAACGTAGATATTGATAAATTTTACTTCTAAGTGCAAATATTTTCCATCCATTTAAATATTATCAGATGGTAAAAACATCAATCTCAATATCGCGTAATTGACGTCATAGAAATAAACCTTACTCATTGCCGTACGTCAATCACAATTTTTGAATGTACCCAGGAATTAATTATACGAGCCGTATAACATAATCTTAGTGATGTAGGCTTGTTTTTTTTGTATGCTTTTTTTACGTGAAAACATTTTGGATTGTGCTTGAAGTGACAACGATATATATATATCATTTCTAGACTGATATTCATAATTCTACAATGCATCTTATTATTTGTATTAAAATGTAAATAGATAAAACGTTAATTTACAAAACGTGTATGTCAACAATGTAATACCTTTATATTGTTTATAAATGTCGGCATTTTTATATTTTCGAATTTTGAAACGTTTAATATGAACTCTAATTTTTGAATCTTTGTTCAGAAGATTTAGTCTTATTTAGTAATTATAGGCTAGATGCATACAATTGTGCTTTATTTGTTTTACAATTTTTAAGTTAAAAGGCACAAATAAATTGGTAAGGTCATATATTTGAGTTTGAATTTAACATAATTTAAATATTTCCTTATTAAACAAATACTTTGAGAGCGCAATTGCACGACGCACGGTGTCAAAAAGGTGCATGCAAGTTGACTTGTGGCAAATACTACGTAAAATATGGCGTGAATCAACCAACTTATCTTAACTTAATAACCTTTCCCATGATCCTAGTTCATTATATTTACATTAAATCTCTCCTATTAAGGCAATAAAATAAAGCAAATATATAAATATATTTTTATTTAAAATATGATATATACACTTGGTGTAATTGATAATTTAAGTCTTCAACTTTCAAAATCACGTTACAACTCCAGCGCAGATCTAAAGTTGAACCCATTTATGATATATCTAACGACAATACACTATATTTTTCAAATTTTGATGTATCGATATATTTCACTAATAATTTTAAAGGCCCATCAAGCAGTAAAAATGTGTTTAAGTTTTATTTATCAAAAACTTTTTTAAATTGTGTGGTCTATTGTGAACAGTTTCCGAAACTATACTCATTGGCAATACAACCGAGCAATATTTTACTTCCTTTGTTTTTCGGCAATCAGTAATGTTACACTAATTTTGCATGGAAGACAAAATGCAACTTTGTTTACGTTTTGATGCTTTTATGGCCTTTTTCATATTCAATTCTAACATGAATCACAGAGCTTTACATCTGTTATAAACGTATATGACATGATAAGCATCTAACTTGCTCTTAATCAGTTTTAAGTATAAACTGAATTATTTAAATTTTTTTAACTTATACTGCGTCGTGAGGGCGTGGCTGAGTAATTAACGCGTCGGACAAGTAATCTAAGGATTGCTGGCCGCGTGGGTTCAAACCCCGTCAGGGGCCAGTCGTTTCCGTGAGCAAGAAAGTTTACACTCATTGCTTAGTACTGGTTGGTTCCGGGAATGGATTCGAAAGTGTTTCAATAAGCTTATAGCTTTCAGCAAAATCGAACTAAATAAATTAGTATAAACTTAATCAGTTATTAAAATAAATAGCATATGTTTGCCCTTCTTATTCATTTCTGTGGCTCCATCTGCCTTAAATATATGAAATTTAAACTTACAGTTCGTATTTATCTTTAAAATCATTTTCAATATAATTTATATTGATTATTAAAACTGTAACATGATATTGTTATACCAATAAAACTACATACAGATGATAAATATCTATTTTTATATCAATACAAAGCAGACTTGTCAAGTAGAAACGTATGTTAACAAAAGTGACACCCTCTATTTAACTTGATCGGTTCATTTCACTTCATTAAAAATACATTAAGATGCGTTGAAATATTATCTATTTCTAATACTTGCAAACAATGATATAGTAATTGGAAGAGGTAAATGTATGCACACAAATATAAACATTTTTAAAGGGAACCCGATAACACAAAGAGACTGAATTGATTACATAATACTTGTCAAATCAAGGCATTCAGTAATATATTTTTCTGATATGGTAATGGGAATTACATGTACTGTAAAAGTACAACATCTCTCACGCCCTCACCCCGGCACCGGCATAAGATGTTTTCATTATAACAGGATTTATTTATTTTAACTGACCGGAAAGAGACACGAATCTGTATTTGTTTTGATGTCAGGTAAAACTCTTATTTAAACTTTTGACCTGAGAAATGTCTAAAAAGGTCATGCCCAGCTTCCATTTGTGGACCTGTCCTTGTCATTTTAGGGGACATGAAGTTAGTCAGCCAACAGTACAAAACCTATGAACATTGCATGGATGTGCAAGCCTGTCTTGCTCTGTACTGATGGCAAATGATATTAATGATAACCCGGTTATATCAGTAGTTATTAAGATTTTTGATAGGTTATATTGTCCTATATAATTATACGATAGTTCGGAAATATAACCCGAGCCGCGAGACGAGTGTTATATTGTAAACAACCGTTTATATGAGGCCATATAACGTGTCAAGGATCTTTATAACGAATTTATAAAACAGCAAAACTTCCTTTTTAGAGTTGCTTTATAAACAGACAGCAGCCGTGCATATAAAACTGTATAAACGTCACGATTATCCAATTAAAAGCGATGTTACAAACTTGCAGTATTATGAAATGTTTTATATGTTGATTTGTGCGTTGAAAGTTGTATGCAAAAAAGTACGCCAAAGATTATAATCTTGATTCTGTGATGCGTATCATATTTAATGGAAATCACTAAAATCGCTTATCAAAAGGTTCATCACAGGGGTATGTGAAATACAGCATAGAATATCATTAATATGGATCTGATAAAGTCAATACCTAATGCAAAATAAGCTTATACAAAATGAATATCATAATGCATTCTAATCTGTTCTGTGTTTTTTTTTATCAGTGTATACAACAGTAGGAGAGATAATATTCTAATTCTGAACTGTATAAATTTGATGTCTCTAATATTATTGTAAAATTAATGTTTACATTGTGGTTGAAATGATTACAGAATATCTAGAATGATATTTCAGTATACAGTTCAACCTCCCTACAACAGCCAGCAGCCGGAGAGTCCAAAATTGACGTTTGTAAAGAGGTGGCTGGCTTGGAGGTTTTGTTTCACGAATAAATTTTTTAATAAGTAACACACTTTCTGTAATATGGTGCCGAACAGGAAATATATTTTGTGCTAAACTCGGGTGTTACAAACTCAAGGCAACACTAGAGGGTCAAAACCATCTCACCTGCTTGAGCTAAAAGATCACTCTAATAATGTTGAACCCATTTAGTCCCCTCTTCCGATAACACAGGATGCCTCAACCCTGAGCCACAAGTGGTATTGAATTATGTAGGGTGCAGAGAAATAAAAAAAAGATGGAAATACATGACCCTTTCAAGTGGTTAGCACCTGAGGTCTTCCTCTTACTGCTATGTAAAACTCCACGAGTTTATATAAGGAAGTTTGGCTTTCCATCATTATGTACATGTGCTAGTTTAATTATAGATAGCATAATTAGGGAAAATTCGATATGCTCAAATAACACATTTTGCTGGCAGTTCGAGAGGTATTTTCCCCTCTTTGGGAAAAATAAATGGCTATTGGCTGGAGCTGAGAGGTGATTGTTGGGAAGAGTTAAATCATATAGTTAATACTATTCTGAAGAATTGAAACTGGCTGTTGTTAGGGGATGGCTATTGATGGGAGGTTTCACTGTATTTCATAGAAAACGAGTTATGCATGAACAAAATTATCGCTAAATCTGCTAAAATAAAATCATCATATTTTATTCTGGGACATTTTATTCTTTTTTACGTATAGAATTCATGCATATTAAATAACACAGACAGTTTTACGACCGTAAGATTATGAAAACAACTTAATTTTACTGTTTACAAAATATTTTATCAGTTAATACTTTAAACGGTTTAAGTGCACCTGTAAAGTGTGAATATAAATAAACAATATTATGAATTAAGGGAGACGTGGCGATAATGATATCTAAAATAACACTGACTGAAAACAAACCCAAACCCAAAGATTGTCCTCAAGTTGATGCAAGTAATGTTAAGGCATAAGAAATACACATATTAAAGTTATATTATACTCATTTTACGCTGTCAAGTTGACCCGAATAAGCTATGTATTTTAAAAGATTGACTATTATAATATGGTTATTGACCAATAATTGATTATTATTAGGATAAAATATAAAAACTGCCCTAAATATATAAAAAGACTGCCCAACTTGTGTTAGCAAATGAGCATAACCGTTAAATAACGAAGGTTGTCTGAAAAAGTTTGGTGGGTCACGTCAGTAGATTTTTGTTTGAAGCTTGTTAATATGATACTGAAGACAATTGTGGCAAAATATGAAATTGTTTTCTCTCACCATTTACACTTTGATGGGCATGATTTAAATTTAATCAAATAAATTTTATTTTTCTTTCTAGGTCAAGTAACATCTAAAATATACTTTGTATATTTTTTTTAATGAATTGCAATTTACGCTATCTGTCTCCAGATAAGCCAAAATATTACAAGAATCAAACTTGAGAAAAATGTACTAGGATTTTAAGTAAAAGGTTCAAATGATAATTAACATTTTGTGTGTGTTATAATTGACTCATTTTGCAGTATTTATGATTAGATTTTTACAGTGAGACTAACGCAGTAATTTTTTGCATATTTTGACCTTTTTTGGTAATTTACGTGGTTTGCAATGTGTTAATTACGATTTTTGTTCACCACACAATATTTAACTTTTAAATTCATTTGCAAAAAATCATGAAAATAAGCATGAATCATGAGGCATGTTTCTTTGAGAGCAACACAATATGATGCTAAAACACAATTGTTCCAAATCGCTTTGCTATATTTTGATATACGTTGTTTGTGCGACTTCTATCTTAGAATATATCCGTATATTGACTTCTTTAGACTGAACAGCCCTGTACTGGATAACATTTGAGAATGGTTTAAGAGCAAGTCAAATGCTTTTTGTTGGAGAATAGACCTTTAACTACTTCTCTATTCTGCTGACATTTTCTGTATTTATGTGTTATGTGGACCAAATCATAAAATGTGCAATATGATAACATACGCGAAAGGGACTGAAATACTGTTGGAAAAAGGCGTAAAATGAAACAAACAAACAAACATACACGAAAGGTCCATTTCGGATGACTAAACATAAAGACCTTTTTACGACGCGGTCCGTTGCTATGAAAAATTGACCGGCAGTAGTAGTTTTTCGCGCATGCGCAATTTGCGTAGGGAAAAAAGCCCTGCCCTACATAGAAATGTAGTAGAAATTCATAGACAATTCCGAGTTAATTGAAGGTAAAATATAGAAAATCATATAAAATAGCTTTTAACAGAAACCCAAAAGATGCCTTCATAGCTTTATGGCCAAGATTGCCCAAAAGGCATGGAAAGACCTGACACTGAGATTATGTGGAAATATATATATAAGCAAATAAAGAAGTCAATTTAATTCTTGTTGAAATCGTCCATATAAAAACTATTTTATAACATAAATTATAATATATAACATTTTTATATAAATTTTATAACATTTAAAATCGAGGTTAATTATCATTCTGAAAAAAGTCGGAACACGTGTTATAATGCATTTTAGTTTTCAGTTTAGCTAATTTTATCCTTTATCCGACTTGAGTGAGATGCCAAACAGAAATGTTTTAAGTCACATATATTTTTAAATAATTTTTCAAACTCTTGAGAAGTTAAGATGGGTGGTGGAATAACACTTATTTTGTCCGGTTCCTTGTGGCACATGTAGATGATGCACGTCACGTACACTATTTGTCACTACACAAAATGAATAAACATTGATGAAATTGGTATAAATAAAAGTTACTTAAATTACGATTAATCATTTTCATAGTTTTAAATATTAACTATGTCATGTTACTCTTAAACGACCCTGTTGATTGATAAACTAGCTGGCAAATAACAACCGGTCACGTGTCAATCTGTTTGACTCTTACCGCCTTGGCAATCCACTTTCAAAGGAATACCAATTGTGTAATATTATGTAATACATGGGTTATAAAATGTGATCTTTAACACCCTGCTGTTTAAGTGAAAAAGTCACCTAATGATACATTGAACAGAGAACTTTTGGTCGTTAAATTATAAGTCACGCTAATTTTGTATATCTGTTATAAATATAAATTCACCTTTTAAGTACTTACCGCTTTAATTCATCCCAACATTTCTTTTTTCTGGGTGACATAACTTGAAATCACGCCTTTTAAATCCTTTAAGTACACTTAAAATGTATTATATCTTAATTGCGCTTTTGTCCTACGCAGAATGCGCATGCGCAAAATGCAACATACGTTGCTATGGAAAAATCGTACTGCAAAAAGGTCTATAGTCGATACCGGGTACACGGAAACGTTGTTTCACATGCTAGTGTTAGTCTATATATTCCTGACTGAACTTTTTGCATGGCAATAAAACTTTACAACGTGAGAAACCCATAAACTCTAAACAGATGAGAAACTGAATTATTACTGTAGTTAACAGGCCGTTTTATGTCTTTTCTAAAATCACCATGTATACAATACGTTATGAAACACAAAAATAATATCGTAAGGAAAAGGATTGAAATTATAACACAAATCAGAATTGTTCTCATATAAACATACAGTCATGGTATTTTAATGCATGTTTAGCTAATGATCATGACGTCAATTTGTTAAACTGTGACGTCAATTTTACACGTTCTAAGTCCGTTGTTTGCTTTTTTCTCATTCGAATTAAAACAAAAAATAATTAGTTTTACATGATTCAATAAAAATGAAATAACAACAACAGCTACATAAAAATAAATAAATAAATAAATAAATAAATAAATAAATAAATAAATAAATAAATAAATAAATAAATAAATAAATAAATAAATAAATAAATAAATAAATAAATAAATAAATAAACAAACAAACATAATCATAGGTAATATAATGGTCTTAATTGAAAATTTGTTATCAAATTGTTATTTTAAAAACGATACAATGCCTTCAGTGACGATAGATTATAAGATCATTGGTTATATTGTTTTGGAAACTTAAAATGTATATCTTCTAACTTCAACATAAAATGGACTCAGCCGAAGATCTCAGTGTCTAGTATTTAAATAAAAAAACCCATAAAAACAAGTGTTTTACCAAAAAAATAAAGGGATAGTTAATGAGCAGATTGCATGCAATAAAAGGAAAAATTTTCCAAATTCCAACATTTTATCATTTGCGGCGGATGCGTTTGCGACTTCGACGTTTGTTTAGATATCTTTTTTCTAAATTTCCAACATTTTATCGTTTGCGGCGGATGCGTTCGCGACTTCGACGCTTGTTTAGAAAAGATTTTTTCAAATTTCCAACATTTTATCGTTTGCGGCGAATACGTTCGCAACTAAGATGGTTGTTGAGTAAATTTTCCAAATTGCCAGCATTTTATAGTTTGCGGCGGATGCGTTCTAGGTTTAGGCTCTTGTTCAATCGTTCGATCTTGTTTAAAAAAGGCCCATCTGTCCTCCCATGTTTCCAGTGGAGATATTTTACAGTACTGTTATACAAGAAATTTGAGAACTTTCAATGAATTCTATATGCATTACATTTTGCGTGATTAAATAATGTATTGTAGGGAAAAAACACACACACAAAAAACAACAAACAAACAAACAAACAAAATTAAAGAAAACACAACACTTACTGTATGTAAGAATAACTGTTGCCAGAACTAACTGTTGCCATGACAATTGGCATTGATTAACATCCATCTTCAGAGATATATTTCATATCATTTTTTTAAAAAATATGTGATTTTTTTAGTAATTTTCTATTTCCCTTTTGTATTTAACCTTTAAAATCACAGCACAAAATATATTTATTTATTTTCTGGCAGATTATTATAGAGCATTATCCCTTTTTAAAATGTTTAACATAAACGTTGATTTACAAACTTTCTCTGGATGAAACGTAAAATGTTATATCTGTTTAAAGCATTGTAGATACCTAGCGGAAATAATCGTTTTATGTTTATTGATCACGTGGTTCGAATACGAGTTAAAACGTAGGTAATATATGATAGAATTGAACTATTGTACCCGTACTTTCATTTAGACAAAGATGACACATAATGATAGTTTCTATACCGTCATTAAATCCTAAATGTAAATTCGAGCGGTCACATTCTTGTTTAATGGCCCATTCTTACTAAATAAAGGTCTTTACTTTTAAATGTGAAATGGCAATGGACGGTTCAATCAATAAGTATCCGTTTGAAATTAAACTACAATTAAAATCGAGGATCTTAATTTCACTTACAACAGCTGTTATTTCATTGTTAATTAAAAAATCGTAAATATCATTGGACTTCGATCAACAGCAGTTATAGTTTAATTATATGGTTAAGCTATATAGTTAGAAGGAAATGATCTTCCTGTTGTTCTTTTACGTGTATTTTGTACAGGAAGAACGCGATGATCTCCCTAGAATGATGATAATAGAACAGAACATCATTTCATTTTTAGACGTGAGCTCGCCGATTCTCGTTTATATTGATAGTTATATTTCTATGACAGGTTATATAGCCCTATACAAACGGTTTTATTGCAAACAACCATTTATATTCGGCCATATAACCTCTCAGAAATAGTTATAACACATTTATAATACAAAAATATCGTCTTTTAGAGAAAAAGGTAATATTTCTCGATAAATTGACAGTAGCCTTGTATAGTTTTAAAACTATACGTAGAAATGTCATGATTATCCAATGAAAAGCGACGTTACAAACGACAGTATAATATAAAAATAGATATATCCACATAGAGATAAAATCATTTACAAATAATGATTTAGGTTTCACAACATTAAAATGAGACTGTCAATTGCAACTATATATTTCTGCATTAATATATCTAAGTTTTTGCTAATAAGTGTATAAAACAGATATAACAACTATTCAAGTTATTATGTCTAGTTTGCTTTTATGTTTATTTCATGCTTAATGTCCGGCTGCTTATTGTATGCAAGAATATCTTCATATCAAATTGAAGAAATTAATGCAGTTAAAACTGAAATTTTATGATAGAATGTGTGGCAAAAAGAGGGAAAAAAATTCTTCAATTTTTGTCGTTTTGAAGCTCTTTTGGGATTCCGTTTTTCTCTATTTTATTATATACATGGCCAACACCGGGACATGTGTTTGACAAACTCGAGTAAAGAACGATATAAATCCCATTTGAACAAATGAACTGGTAAAATTGTCATTTTGAAAGTAATCTGATGCTAATTTATTTTCTTTCCATTCATGCAATGGCAATGCATTGATTCAATGTTGACAATGTTTACAAAATCAATCCCATCGACTGCATCCCCACATGCAACAAAAACAACAACCTCAGTAAATAAATAAATAAATAAATAAATAAATAAATAAATAAATAAATAAATAAATAAATAAATAAATAAATAAATATACAAGAAAAGAGAAACATTCATGTATTTTTTCTGTGTAGTTTACATACATACCATCGACAACTTGAAACCTCATATTTGTTATGACAATAAATGACCAATCAATGCAAGCAATCTTTGTAAAAATATTTCGACCCCTGCATCCCTGACTGTCATATGAAAAAGGAGAAAAAGGTGGAATTATATTTCTTCATATTATATTAATTATCATATTATTAAAACAATATGCATCACCCACTGAACTGATATAAATTAAACCAAAAAAGTGATAAATTAAAATGAAATATAGATTGAGTATAAATTATTCGAAAAAGAGGAAAAAAAAAGAAAAAAATTGAAGATGGAACGGCTATAAACATTAAAGATTAAAACTGTTGTGCATGTAAATTGTTTGTTATAATATTGATACTGTTAAATGACCCTAGTAGCTACTTATCCATTAAACTAAAGCCATTTTACGACAAGTGTTTCATTGCGATTACAATATTTATATTAATAAATCAATTCAAAGCGATTATATAAACATGCGATTATATCCCCACCTCTACTCCCCGCTCGGTCCAACCCACGCATGGTCCCACCCAACAACCGAACACTTAAATTTATAAAAAACTAATACAAGATATAAAAATATCAAAAATGTAAAAACTGATCAACACTTTTATTTTAGTTTAAACCGAACAATATTTGCAGCTCTACATATTAAAGTTGTTCGTTCCGCACTAAATACTGTAACTCATAGGCTACATGTATTTATTTTGAACAGCGAGGTCACAGCTGATAAGTCAGAATACAATCATTTTATTTGATGTAGAAAAGTTTAAAGTTGAATCTGGATATTTCCAGTTAAAGGTAAACATTTCTTTTTAAAACTGTTGAACGATGTTCGTTGTTCCAAAACCGGTTTTAATAAATTTTAAATCAGTTTAAATTTGACCGCCATTTTGTTTTTTGTAATGGTTATATACATGTAGTACATGTATGTTGGCCTTTATAAACTGCTTGTTAACTAAGTCCTCCTCAATTTAAATCTTGGAGGTTTAAGAAAGGCTGCGCAATACTAACAAGCTGCCGATATTTAGTCTATTAGAATAGAATAAAAATGTATGTTTTGATCAACTGATGCGTATTTTTACTTTAAGTGAATTGTACGATTATTTTTAGAACGAATCAAAGGATGGTGAGGAACATTGGTATATTTCTTGTTGGTTTAATTGCTGTTTTATCTACCTATATAATATCATGGAGGAAAGGAACGAAAGTTGTAGACAAACTTCTTGAAGAATATGACTATATTGTCGGTAAGTTCGTGAATTAGTAGAACTTTGGAAACAGTACTAAACAGCTAAATATTGCCCGACATATGATGCATGAATCACCTTTAGTAATTCAGTGTTGTTATATTTTTCTGGTCCTTCGGGATCATTCATGCCAGCACTATTGAGTGTTGAGAATTGAGTACCTCTCCTCATGTACAGACTCAATCAAACTGAGTCTACAATTCTCTTGTATTTTTGTTGTGATTAATGCTTCCGAAGGATCACTTTGTTTCCAGATTTTTATACTTCACAACAGCAGGTGTCAAGTGTTGTTTGGCAACTGTAAAAGTTGCCCTGTACTTCACTTCAGTGTTGTTATATTTTTTCTGGTCCTTCGGGATCATTCATGCCAGCACTATTAAGTGTTGAGAATTCAGTACCGCTCCTCATGTACAGACTCAATCAAACCGAGTCTGCAATTCTCTTGTAATTTTATTGTGATCAATGCTTCCGAGGGATCACTTTGTTTCCAAATTTTTAGTGATAGCTCTATTATTTTTTTCTGTGATGTACAGCTCCCATCATAAACAGATCCTTTCAAAATGATATTTTACAAAACTTACTGACACAATGATTGGATTATAAAACGACTGAAGATTTACCATACTACTAAAAGCATTATTTCAGTTCAGGTTTCTACTTACAACTTTCAATTATAGAATTATAGGACATTGTTAAATAAAGTGACACTAACTACTACAGGTTCATGAAAGCAAAATAATATTACTATTATTTAAGTGACACATTTGCACATAACTAATCTAACTCTGACCTTATGACTATTTCAATATTACAGTTGGGGCAGGATCAGCCGGTTCCGTCCTCGCTTCAAGGTTATCGGAAGAGCCAGAAAACTCGGTTCTTCTTCTAGAATCTGGCGGAGACGATATGGGTGATATAATGTTGTCTACCCCATTTTTATATGTAATGCTTCAACATTCAAAACATGACTGGGACTTATATGCAGTTAAACAAGATAACAGATTTTTGGGTCATAAAGAAGAGGTAATCAATTTGTATTACAAACAAACCTTTGGGCTATGTCTTGTAATTTACCAACAGAAACAACAAATAAAGTCTTTAAAGTCCAGAGTTTGGATTTTACTCTATGTAAGATCAAACAGATAATCGCGACATAGATACTTAGTCATTGTCATGTAAAAACTATTGCTCGAGAAAAACATAAAGTATAATTGAGTGTGTATTAAGTTCGAAGCTTGCCAATATTGTTCTACTACAGTAAAGTCGGATTATATTTATTCAAAATATCATACATACATACAAACAAACAAACATGTGGTCACAACATAAATTTCATTAAAAATAATCAAGGCTCAAACACTAAGTAAATTTTTGAAATACACAACCATAAAGTTATTGCTGTTATAAATGATGTCTGAAAACAAAATCATAATCATAAATGGTACTACAATATATATTGAATGTGAGTAACGCCTATTTGCAGAAACCATTTTGGCCAAGAGGGAAATGTTTAGGCGGTTCCAGCAATTTGAACGCGATGGTTTATGTACGCGGAAGCCGGCATGATTTTGATGAGTGGGCGTCCGAGGGATGTGAAGGCTGGGCGTATGAAGATGTTCTACCATACTTTCTTAAATCAGAAGATATTCTGATTGATGATCTTAAAGATTCAAGTAAGTTTTACAATCATAGCATAAGATTACAGTAAAAGTACTAAATGTGCCTAAAACTAGTAAGGACCACTATTATTTTGAACAAGATATAATTGATTTATATAGAAAGGGGAATCGATATAAATAATGTAATACTATTTTGTCTAAATGCCGATATTTTGTTTATAAGTTCTGATTAACTCTAAGGGTGTTAAACAAGTAGAAGATGTGTAAATGATCGTCATGCATTTCATGTTTGTTTGAATGTTTAAATGTTACACAATCATTTACGAACTGTCATTATAATATTTTGGCCGTTTTTGTTTTATAAATACATGATACTTTTTTTAATTATAATTATTATAGAATATCATAATACGGGAGGTATGTTGCCAATAACTTACAACAACATTACGTCATTATCTGACACAATATCTGAGGCTGGAACAGAGATAGGATATATGACAAAAGATTGCAACGGTGCTGACATGATTGGTAAGTACTGACTGGGGTATCTGAAATTAAGTTGAGATCTATATGTTGTTGAAAGGTTTCTGATCTTATTGTGCCGATAAAGAAA